TGCACAGAACTCCATACCACACACACAACTATTCAAACTTACTATACAAAACTGCACTTAACTGAAGCTACAATTTTAAACAACTGATACTTTGCAGCTATATCATGCTGGGGGTGTTAGCGTCACACCCCCAGGGAATGATGATAACACCGGCTGCAAATTATCAATCAGCAATTTCAAAACATAAGCTTAAAGTCAGTCCCCTAATATAAAGCTGCTTTCCTGTTGTCTTTAGCAGTTGTACACATATTATGAATAACTACTGTGTACAAATTGCACAAATAAAACTGCACAATAGACTCAACACAAGGCCAACTTCTATTTCTACATTTCTAGTTAACTGAGACTTAAGCACAAAATATCCACAGATGATTCTCGAGCACATTCAATATATTGGATACCCCAACTTCCCCTCTCCTCCTGATGGGACATAAGCGTTTTTCCATTGATTATTTCAGCACAGTATCACCTCTTTGTCCTTGGTTTTGCTGCCCACCGGGGAAAGGAACAGTCTTGCATGATCAACCATTGACACTATAATTTATTATTTTGAGTTTTTGCCAGATTGACTGTTAGATCAATTCTTTGTGAGATCAAAACTTGAGAAAAATGGTTTGTGTTTGAGTAGGTAACACAGGAGCAGTCTGGGGAAAGTGTTTTAAGGCTATTTTATAAAGGTGATCTTGTACTTGTCTCGTGTCCGTAGAGAGTACTAGAAAGAAAGACCCAAAGATGATCGGATGGTATCACAGATTTTAAAGGAGGTGTAAGTGTGTTGTTTTTCTTTCTGCAGTCCCTTTCACCTTGAGTTGTCTTTGTTGGTAAGTTGTAACTTCCAGGTATTATAGGGACAACATTTAGCAGTGTGCAATACATACTTAGCATTCTCGTTTATCAGCTACAGCTACTTTAAATATTTGAGTAACACCCACTATAGCTCTATACTATATTGTTTTTATTATTTAGATTTTTGATTGGTCATTTCCCTCTTTATATACAAGGAAGGAATTGCATATTATTTTGGTTTATGAAATGAAACTTGACTTAACCAGGCCTGGGACTGGCCCAAATTAGAGCATAAAATCACTATGAACAAACTAGTTATTTATACTATAGAGGCTTTGCACCATCACGTGTCCCCCATGGCAACGGTACCTACGCCGCCATGACACCGGGCACGTTATATCATTGACTTCAGTAGCTTTGGAGAAACATGGGCAGGTTTTGTTGTGTATTTGGTTGTTCTAGCCGCTCTGAAAGGGATAAAACGATTAGTTTCTTCACTGTTCCTCTGGAAATTACTCATCAGGAGCTCAAACAAGGGAATTATCGCAAAAAAGACGTGGATTATGACTAGGAAAAATAAACCGCAAAGAGATTTCCAATGGTACCATCAAGACACCCTAAGTTTCATCAAGGTATTTGCTATTTAAATTGTTTCATAGCTTATTTAATGAGAGAAGCACATTTACTGAACTAAAATTTCATTAATTTGTACAGGAAAACCCGCACTAGTTTTCGATTCAATCAACCCACATTGGGCTCCTATGATCAACATGGCACACGAGTCAAAGAGCCCTGTGAGCCGAACCTTGGCCAGAATCGGCCATGAAAAGATCCTCGTGAATGTTAGAAAGATCCGCTCGCAAAAAGCGATTAATTCTAGAAGACATAGTTGTGGATAAGCAAAGCAATGAAGAAAACATGGGTCCTGCGATGAGTGACATGTTTATTCGTGCGTTGGAAGATACAGTTTCTACTGCCACTCACACTGCAAATGTTTTCTTTTTAAATTTTTGTTCAGTAAATGTGCTTCTCTCATTAAATAAGCTATAAAACAATTTAAATAGCAAATACCTTGATGAAAGTGACGTGAGTGTGTCTTGATGGTACCATAGGAAATCTCTTCGCGGTTTATGTTCTCTAGCCATAATTCCTGTCTTTTTTTCGATAATTCCCTTGTTTGAGCTCCTGATGAGTAATTTCCAGAGGAACAGTGAAGAAACTAATAATTTTATCCCTTTCAGACCGTCTAGAACAACAAAATACACAACAAAACCCATGTGTCTCCGATGCTACTGACGTCAATGACATAGCGTGCCCAGTGTCATGGCGGCGTAGTTACCGTTGCCATGGGGGACACGTGACGGTGCAAAGCCTCTATTGCAATATCACAATGGCCATATAGTAGTTAGCAATTAAAAGTGGATAAACGGACCTGATTGGAACAGGAAGGGCATCTGAAACACACACCAAAATCATGATGCTAGTCCCTGCATGTTTTGATGTCATGAAAAAACTAAAAGTGAAAAACATATTACTAAGATTATTAATTATATATATTGATTGTTGCTTATAGTGGGGAGTTATTTTGAAGTGTTACCAGTGTCTGTCTGTTTAAATGGACCTGCGTTCATATTTTACCTTAAGCCTCTAAGATTTCTGCCTTAGAAGTTGATGGAGACTTTGTAATCATTTTATAGGCAGAGTTTTATCCAAAGAGGAGGTCGTAATTTCCACATTCATTGCAACATTTCTCCAGCCTCACTTGACTTACAGAGTGGTTTTAGCTCAGTTTTGTGGAGCTCCTTCGGGCAGGTTCAAGCCCCGGTTTTCATATTGAATCAAGTGTAAAGGAAGAAATTCACTTACTCATGCTGTTATAGACCCCAAATCCAGAACTTTCTCAGCTGAAGTTGCGTTTGGTTCACACTGAGGAGAATCGACTCTTGCTTGGCTGCTCACCCTACCGCCCCAGTGCCCCCTCTGCAGTGATTTCCATGACAACGGTTATAGTGTTATAGCTGTGATTCCAACATGGCCGTTGGTTTGAGACGCCTTGTGCAATCAGAAAAAACTCAAAACTTGAACTCAAACAAGAAGAAGTCTACATTTATGAATATATCTTAAGTGAGATGTTTGTGTATGATATTCTAATTGTGAAGAAATGTGTGATATAAGTATATATATATAAATATAGGCCTATAGATGAAATAATTATATGATGTAAATGTCATCATCTCTTCAGTTTTATATATTAGTGACCATTTTGTACAGATGTTTCCTTTTTTAATTCATTGAGAGATGTATGGCATTTTAAAATTATTTATTCACTAGCATAACCATTTTTTATATGTTTATGATGTATAAATAACAGCCTTTGTAATATATAATTTCATTTTTTATTTTGTTTTATTTATAGTATGTTTCATTTAGGGAATACAGCTTCACAATTAACATTTCTGGAGATACTTCAACTGTATTTCATCCTTTTTGTTTGACTCCGAATTTGGTTAATAACATTGTGATTCCTACTGTGAAATGCATAGGCTTCTGGAATAGGGCCTTACTATTCCTATTGAGTTTTTGGCTTTATTTTGTCTTGTTTGCATGTGTACACGAGTGGACGAGGATTGTGTATTCAGAAAGGATTTTAAAGGTTGTTCATTTTACTCATACGGTAACGTCAAGACAATGAAACTACATAGATTAAACCCCTTCTTTTTATAACAGCATAATTTAGTATGTAAATGAGATTTTTACATGAATGTGTGGGTGTACCAAACTCTTCAAAACTATAGTGAAACCACAAATTGACTAAATGTAAATAGGCCAAGCGGATTCTTAGCAACAAATTGTTCAAAAAGAATATGTTTTGTTACTAAACTCAACAATGGTTACAGCGGTATATAATACAAAATAATGCATGTTTAGTATCAAGCAAACGCACGGTGCAGTCGATAAAATTGTTGTCTTCATGTTTTTCCCAAAAGAAGGATTTTACGTTGGAAGTTTTACAAATGGAAGTTGCTAATTTTTGGTATCTGTTAAAGGCATGTTGTCTTACTGTGATGTTGTGATGACAGATGAGAAGGATACTAGCAGAGACGCTCCTATCCATAAAGTGACACCTATTTGTAGAGTAGTGTGAAATAAGAAATAATACAAGAAAATAGATCTATTATAATATGATATATGGATTTAAAAAGCCTACTACTGATACTAATGGAGATACTAATTTATCAGTGTGGATGCCATGATATTCTGTGCGCTGTGTGTTCCCCTGTGAGAAAATGGTAGGCAGGCGATCCTGCCTCCTTTTGTACATAATTGCTGTGATTGTGTGTCCAATAAAGTGCAGCTCTCTTGTACACTGTCTCTTGTCCGACCCTCATTTAATTAGACCACTAAATGCAGTGTTTATTTTGAAATAGGGCATGTCACAACAATGCAACACTTACTCCCTGTGTTGACTTTTTGTAATTAATATGGTAATTATTGTGTCCATTGAAACTTGTCAAAAGGCCCCTATTACAGTATTTTCTGTTATATGGTGTTTCCTCATCAAAACCTACATGGAGTTGTTTTGTTTCATTCACACGTTTAACACACATGCTGCACAAATATAAGATTTTAAACCTCATACACCTTCACCTGGAATTGCCTGTCTCTACTGAACTAAAGATTAAAGGTAGCTGTTAACTTGAAAACTACTGCTTTGTGACATTACAAGGTGGAAAAGAGCACTGGAGATGTTGACAAACTAATAATAAAGGGTTGTGTGAATGAAACAAAACACAACTCAAGGTATGTTTTTGATGACTTGACTTTTGCGAATACTAGAGTTAAGTTTGCATAATTTCGGACCTTTAAATAGAATAATTACTGCATTTCCAAAATGCTGAAAAGGTCTTATGATAAATAACATATCACTTATGCTGCATTATGTAACATGTAACTTTCCTGTGGGGGGAATCAGCCACCTTCTTGTCTCAGTGGAGAAATTCCTCAGTGGCATTAGTTTTTCTGTATGTATTCAATTACAAATGTTTCTGTTTCTCTATATTTCCATGAAGATAAATAAGATATATATAAATATTATATACTGTAGAAAATTCTAAGTAAAGCAATAGCAAACACCAAAAGGTATATATCTTTTAATTAAATTACTGTATATTACTATATTTTTTTAATATAATAATAATAATAATAGTTCAGAATGCCATACAAAACATGTTTTATTATATAATGAAAACTTTATGTGTTTTACATTCATAGCAAAGATATACTGTAACAGTTTAGGCAGTGATATCAAGTGGTATTACAAATATCAAATAATTCCAATTAAAAACTATTTACAAGACAAATTCACACTTAATGTTAATACATGCTGGCATTTGGGTTATATAGTAAATAGTCATATTGTACATAGATAAAACTGTGTGTTTTCTATATATCTGTGATTACAGTTACATTTGTCACAACAGCAGAGGCTTAATTATCCTGGCGCTGTGCTGGCCGCCGTCCATCTCCTCGTCTGAACGGAGAGTTTCTCAAATCTAATGAAAAGAAAATTAAAATTTTAATGTAGACAACAAACTTGCATAAACTGTGTCCATTTACTGCAGTGGGTTTCAAAATGTTAAACTAAACATTCCAATGTTTCTTCTTAAAGGTGCAGTAAGTAACTTTTCTAGTGGAGGGTCTGTCAAACGCTTTTCACCATAGAGATGTTATTGCTTTGTCTGGAATCTTTCACAGTGTGGTATTAAAGCTTTCTACCTTCATGAAGACCAAACCAGACAGGTCTCCATGTTACAGGTCAAATCTGTGGAGAGGAAACTCTGTTCACAGTCAGAATGCCTGTTTTTTGAAGTATTTTTGAGCCCTAAAACCATCTGTATTTGAAATAATGTAGTGCTGTTTTAACATTCCAGGCAAAGCAATGCCATATTTATAGAAACAAGTGGGTGACAGATCCTCAACCAAAAAGTTACATAGTGCCTTTAACAAGACTAAAATGAGCCTGAGGGTAAGATAAAGCAAGGATTAATTTATTTCTCCACTAGGAAAATGTGTTCTCTCTATATTTGAGCCATATCTCGATGGCACTGTTGCTAATTGTCAGAAGCTGTGGGTAACCATAGTGATGCCTGGGGACCCATTTCCAGATTTTAAGATATTCATGGGTTTCAGCTTTCTCTTTCTTGCAACATTTTGAAGATATTTTGCTCATTCAAACGATAAAATATTTTGTTTTAAATTGTTAATCGCTATGCCAATGATCCTATTCTCTCATCATTTTGAAACCAATGAAAAGATTGTGTCACAGTGTCTAGCTGGAGGATTAGCCCACCTTGCATATTTTAGTTTGTAACTCATCATAACAACAAATATTAAAAGTGCAACTTAATAGAACTTCACTGCAGTCTAAACTTACTGTAGGTCTAAACCAAAGCAAAAATGGAGCCAATCCAGGACTGTGGGTGCGTTCACACTTACACAAACACTGCATCAAAATTAGGACTAAACTGAGACTAATGCTGGAATGAAACCTGAACTAAACTAGAACTGGAACAGGACCAAACCAAGTCTACATCAGGACCAAACCATAAGTAGTAAATTGAACTAGATTTGAAAATCATAAAAGACTTGAATAACCCTACACCACACCCATTCACACTTAACACTGCATCAAAATGAAGACTAAACTAGACTAATATTGCATAAAAAAATGGACTGAACCAGCACGAGAACAGGACCAAACTAAGTTTATATCAGGACCAAATCTTAAGTAGTAAATTGACTCAACTAACCCCATACTTCCCCCATGTACGATCAGACCCACCTGTGATGATGTCTTCCAGCGCTCCGTCCTTCCCCTCTCTGACCGGGGGCTTCTGTCTCTTCTTCAGTTCAGCGATCAAATCCATCTGAGGCATCTTTGGCATCATAGGACCTTGGGGCTGTCAATGTAATATTATATTTATTCACAACAACCAGAGGGTAAACTTGAACTCATAATATCTAGCCTACAGGTGTATACAACTTGTACAGGCACCATGAAAGTACGATTTAAGCATGAGTGAAAATAATAATTGGAAATATAAGTAATCCTGATATAATATCTGCTTAGGTTAATTAGAAAGTACTTTGTGCTGGTAATTGTAAATACTTAATTGATCCAAAAGAGCATTCTGTACAATGCACTACTCTTCTACTGTTGATACTTTGCAGTAACATCACGCTGGGGGTGTTCTACATGTATCTCTGTTGGTGGAATGTTCAGCAGTTACCATGGTGACACAATGCACACATTAGCAAACACAGACAAAGTTACAAGATTGTCTGAAAACTCAAGAAAAAATACAACATTAATTTCAATAACACATTTTCAGGAGCCTGTGATCAATACGTTCATGGTCCTGTTTAGATGTCTAGGTGTTTGATTTTCAACAAAAACCTGAGAAGGACTTGTTTAACAGCACAAATCAGCTCATCTGTTGTACTTTTAACTAAATCAGCTTTTTCTGGTCAGATTAAGTCTAACTTGAGTAACAGAGCTTCCGACAGAGTAGTGCTTTCAGTTAGTATCACACCCCCTGAGAATGTTGACGCATCAGCTGCAAAGTGTCACTATAATAATACATTACAATATTTACCTTTTGTCCTGGAGATTTTGCTGGAGACGGAGATGATTCCTTTGCTTCATTCATCTCCTCCATTTTCTTTTTCTGTTCAATGTCTTTCTGCACCGCCTGTGTTTACAAAAGAACAAAGGTAAAATGTGAACAAAGGTGAATTTAAAGACACATTTTACCACACAAATCATATACTTGGATAGAGTCTCACTTTGTAGGCTTTTATGAAGCGTCCAAAAATGGGGAAGAACATGGAAGGCTGTGTAGTTTTGGGGTTTTCTCCAAAATACTCCACTGCTAAGCTGTAGGATTCCTGGAAAGGGACAGAACTAGTAAGTACAAAGTAGGCCTAAGTCTAGCTCAAATATATAATGAATAAGAGATTGATAGAAACATTTAAATTTGGGTAAGCTACACAAAGAGTTTATATGTGATACAGTAGACATTTTTGCACTGTAATCTATAGGAGTCCTTTTGTTTTTAGTTCTGGCCCTGATGAAAAAGGTCCCAGGAAGTCCAAAAGATCCCTACAGTTTAAACATGTCTGTTACATTATATTGTAAGCGAGTTTAAAAAAAAACAAATGGACTTTTGCTTTTGTAACTAACTTATAATGTCTTATTCCTGGATGTCTCAAAATTTACATCAATAAATTACATTACATTGTACCTGTGCTGTTTTACTGTCTTTAATCAATGACTCCAGTATTGTGCAGTTGGTTTTGATAAACTCCTTCAAAACCAGGCTGTCATCCTGCACCAGAAACTCCTTCTTGGTCATCTCCATCCCCCTCTCCAGAGCGCGGATATCAGAAAGTATGCCATCCAAGGACACTGAGAGAGAGGTACCCTTTTAAAAATACATTCTCACAACTTAAACAGTATATTTAGTTATAACTTTTAATACCCAGTGCTGCCTTGTCCACAAAATGCAAGTCAGAGTGGAAGTTCACCAAGTCTGGGTATTTTTCCTGGATGACTTTGGCGATGAAGTGTAGCAGTGTCTGTGAGCGGTCAGTGGACTTGGTTTCCAATAGCTAAAATGTTTTAAAATAATGACATATTATGAAATGCTTTGTATATATTCACAGTGATGAGTTTATAGGTACTTTTTAGAATTTTCAGAGGCCAGAGAGGAGTTTTGTCGTCACGGTAAAGCTAACAATAACTAGTATGCTAACCACACACTTCCTGATAATAGGACAATAAAATGCTTCAGATGCAGAAAGAACATAGCAGTCTTATTTTGACCTAAAGAACTGCTTATTATAACTGTACTTATATCTGTGCTGCATGGGGAAAGACAAATTTAGCTCAAATACATGGACAAAAACAAAAAAAACAGGTACAGGTAATTTAGTTGTTACTTACAAGGTCCAAGCTCTGGAGCCTAAAGCCGTACGCAGAACCTCTTTTACTGCTGTTCATGTAGTTACCAAAAGCCAAAACGATCTAAAAGAAAACATAATTGATTTACTTATACATGTTTTTTTAAAAATCTGAAATATATATATATTTTTCCACTAAACTCACTTCGAGGATTTTTTTCAGCTTCTCAGAGGATTTGATTGACATGGACGCAGAAATGAGCGAGTCTAGTTGCTGCAGAAAAGTACAAAATCAATATTAACGTTTCAAAGTGTTTTTCATGTTAAACTTTTAAGACGGACCGGCTGGAGGCGTTTGACCGAGTCTGGAAAGTTTCCCATAAAAGTGAGAGTGTTGATGCGTTGATTCAGACGAGGAATCTTTCCAAAACGCAAAACAAAGCGGTCCTCGTCTGCTAACTCCTCCATAGGTCGGCCGTCTTTCTCATAATTCTTCAACAGCTTCATCTCAAAGTCTGATGGTATGAAGGGCTCCAGTAGCTCCAAGAGGTCAATAGACAAAGAACTCTGATCATATCTAAAGAAAGAAAGTTTAATACATAAAACTGTGACTATAAATCAATGATCAGAGTAGATAAATATAACTTAAAGGTACATTGTGTAACTTTTCTGGTAGAGGGTCTGTCATCAGATTTTTTTCCATGGAGATTTCATTGCTTTGCTTGAAACGTTCCACAGTACAGCATTAAACTTATCTATCTTGCATTTATTCAATTACAGGTGTTTATATTGCTTAAAAAAACATGTTGCCTCTCCACAGATCTGACATGCAACTTGGCGTGGTGGTGTCACTCTTTTGTTCCCATGGCGATAGATAGGCTTAAAGCAATACTATGGAGCATTGTGGACAAAGCAACAACATCTCTAAGTAAAAGACAGTCCACCAGAAAACTTATATAGTGGACATTTAATGCAGCAGTGTAACTTTTTCTGGTGGGGGTAATGTCACCTGCTTGTCGCCATGGAGATATATAATGTTCCTCAGTATGGCTTTAAACTTATCTATCATGCCTTTATTTAATCCCGGGTGTATGTTGCTAAAATACCTTGAAAAATGTGCTTTCTTACTGTGAGTCTGAGTCACTTTTACCTGGTTACGTCATGTGCTTGTCTCCATGTACAGATAAGTTTAATGCTATACTGTGGAACATTGCAAGCAACATCTCTACAAAAACAAGCAGGTAGCAAACCCTATGCCAAAATAGCTACATTGTACACCTTTAATTACTGAAATAAAGTGGAAAAACAAGCAATTAATATGCTAATTTAACCTATTGTAATTATAATTTTTATGTTATCCATTGTGATTAATTACACAAAGTTACTGATATACGTACGTCTCAATGGCTGTGCATATCTTGTCTGGGGTCATTCCTCCTTTGCGCAGTGTGATGGCCAGATTCTTGGACTTATTTGCATCGATCAGTGAAGTTTTGGCTGGTACTTTCTTGGCTGCCTTTATCGGCTTACTGCCCATATCTTTAGCGGTCCCCTGTGCCTTGGTTTTAAACTGCTCTTCAAACATATCCATGTTCAACTCCTAAAGGACACGAGGTAATGTTAGAAAAGAGAAAAATTAGGTTTGTTTTGTAGCATAAAAAGTTTTCTTGTCTAACTCTCTCTTACCCCAAGGATTTGTTCATCGTCCAGTTCGTTGAACACTGTGCCGGTCACCTGGTTGGGTTTGAGGGCCTGCCAGTTCAACAGGGGCATCCTAAACTTGGTCTGAATAGTTTTCTTGGATTTAACTGTGGAGGAAACAAAAACACAAGATAGATCAAACTAACTACAGGTGTATGTTAAAGGTCTTACATTACGCAAAAGTCTTATGAGCTGTAAGCCATGCTATAATGTTGTTACCTCATCAAAAACATGCTGAGAGTTGTGTTCTGTTTAATTCACACATGTTTATATTTGAGTAATCCTTTGTTATTAGTCTGTCTGCATCTGTAAAGCTCAAACTGCTCTGTTCCACCTTGTGATGTCATGTAGTGGTAGTTTGTGAGTTAACAGCTACTTTTTACCTTTGTTCACTTGAGTTTGGCAATTCCAGGGTTGAAATTATGCAAATTATTCTAGTGAAGGTATATGGAGTTTAAAAACACAGTGGAGCAATGTGTTACCACATGACATCACAATAGAGCGTTTTCTGTTTGAGAGAAAAACTATTCAGGGTTGTGTGTTAAACATGTGTGAATGAAACAAAACACAACTTCAGGTATGTTTGGGATGAAGAAACAACATTATAACACAGAGCAGAAAATTGTGTAGGCTAATATTGGTAATTAGTATTGTAAGTATGATTTGAATGAACAAAAACATCTTTATAGTAGTATCATCTGCACCGCAACCATTACTAAAGTTATGGAAGTTTACTGGTTCCTATAGAAACTGTCATTGCTATTGCTGCTGTTACTTAACATTAAGATTACTGAACACAGAGAAGTAGTGTTTCAAATTTGAGCATCAGCCAGGACAAAACCAGTATTAAAGAAAGGAAAATCAGCTGTCAGCTCTGAACTAAACGTAACCTTACATTTTAAAACTAAGTGAGTTTTAAATACAACTAAATGAGAGTTTGAATGGTAAATTAGGTCCTTTAGAAAAATAACCTTGTCTTTCTGGTACTTTTCACAGTTTGAGATGTCAGTGCTGGCCATGCTGTTCTTGTTCTTACCAGACTCAACCTGTGGCGCTCCCGGTGGCGGAGGTGGTCCCATTCCGGGTGGAGGAGGTGGTGGTCCTGCCCCAGGCGGAGGAGGTGGCGCAGGTGGACCCATTCCAGGAAGAGGAGGAGGGGGTGGGGGTCCTGCTCCTGGGGGTGGAGGAGGAGGAGGAGGAGGAGGGGCTCCAGCACCAGGCGGGGGAGGAGGAGGAGGGGCTCCAGCACCAGGCGGGGGAGGAGGAGGAGGGGGTGGAGGTGCAACACTGGCAGGAGCAGGAACAGAGTCTCCCCCGAATGGAGGTGGTGGGGGTGGAGGAGGAGGTGGTCCTGGCATACCCTCAGGACCTCCAGGAGCGGGTGGAGGTGGAGGTGCAGTCTCATTTTGACTTGGCAAGGCTGGAGTAGGCACCTGGACGTATTCGATCTTTGTGACGGGCACCACCTGGATGTCCACCTCCCCCGATGCCCCCCTGGTCACTGTGATGAGACCCTTATCCTGCAGTTCCTGGATCTTCTGCTCCAACTGAGGGTTGGATTGTGGGGCAGTGGAGCCACGACGTTCTCGATCCTTCTCTCTCTCCAGGTCTAACTCCCGCTCTCTCTCCCTCTGCTGAAGAGTACTGACCTGTGTACATGACTCACGCAGGCTCTCCTGTAGTTACAAGGAGATTACACAGATGAAGTATAATTTGTAGAACGTTTTATTTTCAGTTTCAATTTCAAATGGCAAATACAAAACCCAAATCCTACATCTATAGACAATCTGTTCTTCTCACATCTCTCTTAAATATTATACTTTATTTAGGTTTTTAAGAATATAACACAAAATAAAATGTTGACCCTAAATACATATGTTTTATCAAATTTAATTTTTTCATAATTGAAAGCAAACAATTTAACAAGCAACTCTACTTAAAATATATATCTTCATTTCACAGAAAATATTTAAATCGGAAAAACTGTGATGATTTATTTTTTTTATACATTTTTTATACACACATTTTCATATAAAATAAATATATACATAAGGGATAAAACAGCACTTTGAAATAACGGTTTTCTACTATTTTCAAATAATTTGTATTTAAAGCATTTATGAAATACGGACTACACTTGAAAACTTTGCATGTCTAGACTTAATGGACACTACTTGTACCAATTATATTCAATGTGTCCACTTAGCCTGTTCAAATTAAAGGCCTGTAATGAACTCTATTGTTTAACGGTCTCTTAATTGTGCCTAATCTGAATGAATGTTTGTCAGGACTCACTTTGAGCAGCTCCGTCTCTTTCGTGGCCTGCAGGAGTTTTGTCTCCAGTTCAGAAATCTTTTCAGTCGCCTGCTCCTCCACCTCCTGAAGCCGAGCGTTCAACTGCAAAACAACACACAATAAACTAAAGGTGGGCCATAATGACAAATGAATGGAAAGTCTCAATATTTTTCCTCCAATAACAATAATATGATCATATCTTTTCTATCTATCAAAATGTGTCTGCAAATGTCTTGGTTGAGGTTCAATTCCAGCACTAGAAGTTACTCGATTGTAAAATTAAATTAAACACAAAAATGCATATCTCATATGCACCTTATAAATGACCCTTTATTCTTTTTGGGAAGATTACACTCAAGTTTCTGTAATTCCTTTAAATATTTTTATCAGTTCAACTTGTTTTATGTGGATGCTAAATGCTAAATTATCTATTTACTGTGGATTGAATGATGGGCTAAAAAATGCATATACTTATATATTTAAAGCTGCCCGTGGTGATGATGACCCTTGCCCTGGCACACATGGCCCTCCCACGTAACTGCTTGGCATGCTTTTGTCCCTTCCCAACAGCTGGGGTCTGATACACATAATATGATGAGCTGTTTCTCATCACTTGTTTAGTGCACATACCTGTAGGTTGTGTTCATGCAGCTCATCCACCTGCTCCAGGACCCCCCCTCTGCTCTCTGCATCCTCCAGCAGAGCCCCCACGTCCAGCACATTGTCCAGGTACGCTTGAATCTGCACCTTCAACTTCTCACTCTCCGTCAACTTCAGGCTCTGACACACAGATATAGAAAACATAAAAACTGGAAAGTCAGAAAAATGATTATCACTGAATGTATTTACTAAATTACTATAATAAACAACTGCCATGCATTAAAGGTGCATTATCCAAAGCAGATCAAGTTACAGGTCAAATCTGTGGAGAGGCAACCCACAACCCCACAGTCAGAATGCCTTATTGTATTTATTTACTTATTTTTTGGATTGTGCTGAGGTCCAGATTTATATAGGACCTTTTCTATGTTTAACATGTGTATGTGCCAGCTAATCTGAGGCCAGGACTCTCTTTTAATGCAAATGCTCTTTATAAATAAAGATTAGAAAAGGAATACAACTGCCAGTAATTGCTGCCAGCATCATCTATATTCATTCATTTTCAGACATTTTGAATTATAAATCAAACCAGTCCTTAAATATTGTTAGCCTGATTTGTAACATTTGCATCAATTATAAAACAAAGTAGATTTTTGGCTTTTGAGCACTGGACAAAATTTGAGACTTACCTCCAGATACTTGTCCAGTCCCAGATGTGTAAACTCATACTGCAGATGGACCCGGAAGTTCATGTTTTCCACCGAATGAACCACAATGTTTATGAACTGCATACAGGCCACCTGGACAAAACCAAAAACACACTCTGTACAATGGAGCACTTTTTAAATCAAGTACTCTTCACCAGATTACACTAATTAATTAATCATTTGGTAATTACAAACTTACCATAAAGTCGATGTTGCTGTCATCATTCATAAAGTACTCCATAAGCTTCTCAAAACGTGTCTTTTCTTTGCTCACCTGTCAAAAAACATATAGACATTCTGACGTGCGTTATATTAAATGTCCACATGGGGGCTTATGAAACCTGCCTCGGTGATTGGCCACTAATGAAAAATTATTCTAAACTTACAGCAGCTTTCCATAACTTGTTGCTGTCTATCACTTTAAACAAATGAAATTACTAGAGATAGATATATACTAAGACACAGCTGAGTTTGCATGTGTTAATTTTTCATAGTTTTAAATATATGTAGGCAAGAGTATGAGTAATGTAAAGAAGGGGAAGTCTGGACTACTTGATTATCAATGAGTTAAAACAAGAGAACTGAATGATTCATTTTTAGGAGAGACTCGAGTCAGTCAATAAAAAGTATGAAAAGTGGGTCGAGACATTCAGCTAACTATTGTTTCTTAACATTGTTTCACAATGCTGAAGTCAGCACATGGCCTATTGAACTATTTAGTGCAAAGATTATTAGGACAAAGAGTATTACCCCCTTTACTGTTTGACTCCGCATGTGATCACAAAAGCTGTATTGCAGTTGACCAAGCTCCCAAGATTAACTTTTTAACTAGAATAGCATATCATTTTTATTTGTTCCTTATAGGAAATTGGTTTGCAGCCATTTCACAAGACTTGGTTTGCACAGTTACACACCAGCACGGCATATATACACAGGTTTTGGGGTGATGAAACTCTACCTCCGTTTTCATAGCAATTCAAAACAAAATGTTATATCTTTTGAATGAGCAAACATCCTCAACATATCACATCTATACAGGAAGTTGAAATCATAGACTGCATAAAGAAGTGGACTAATGGAGTGTGATGTTACTTATAGTGTTCAGCTGCAGTAGAGCGGGTTAATAAGACCAAAAAGTTAAGACCAAAATGCGATTCTGACAGCAGCAGTTACAGAGAGAGGGGAGATTTTTATTTGTATTCAATACAAAGTGAATTGCAGCCTTAGTTGATGAAGCCGGAAGTGCCCCCAGACTAACTTCCTATTGGAGCGCAGTGGCTAGGGCTACGTCCATTTAAATACTATATACAGTCTATGGTTGAAACCCATGCATACATTGATATGGCGATAATTCATTCAACCATTCAAGAACTTTATTGCTTGTGGGATGAAAGAAAGCTGTCATCAACTTAAACAAAAAATAAAAATCTGTATTGTTTATTTGTAATACTGTAAAGATGTTGTACCTCTCTTAGGTTGTCAAAAGCCAAGAGGATGATGTCATGTCCTCCTCTGACGAGGCACACTGCAGCTAACAGCTCCAACACTAGAGCCCTGGTTCTGTTTAAGATACAGTGGTTCATTTTTAGAAAGCAAGTACAATGCATATTACGTGCATTTTAACACATTTTTTCAAAAACTACCTCCCTTACCTGGGATTTCTGCTATTCAGACCAAGAGTGATCTCATTTACACAGGATGGATGAGTCATGACCAGGTTAAAACCAGACTGTATGGGTTAAAAATACACACACACAAAATATGAATTATTATTTCAATATCTAATAACTACACCTTAATTTGCCTTAATAAAACAAATTTTGTTTATTGTTTTGTTTATTATGACTAATTAAGTTCTAGCTTTAAAAAAAATGTTACCAGACTTTATTATATGTTATGAAAAGTTGATAACTAAAGATGTACTGATGTATTGTGTGAACAGACATTACCTGATAATTCATGATGGCTCGCAAACACATGATACAAACATGGATGTCGTCTCTCTGGCTCGATGTGTGCGACTTTTTGTAAATCTTATTTCCCAATGTGTGTGTTATTCTGTAAAAAAACATATCCTTATATTGTTAAAACCTTCATAACAACAAATTTCCAAGCATTTCCATTCTTTATGGCTATGTAACTGCTCTCATTACAATACAACTCTCGATGCATAGTTTAAAGTCCTAAAAAGACAGCCTTGCGGATTTGCATAAGTGGGTAATTTTGTGCATCGCTTGTATCAAAATAACAGCTTTCTGTTTCATAGTACGACTTAGCTCCACCGCTATTCTCTCAAACAAAATGTGTGACAGTTCATCTTAAGTGCATCTCTTTAAAAAACAATATGTACCTTTTGTTTGCTATGATATGAAATATTTAATCATCCCTAATCAGAATCATACAGCTTTATTATAAGAAATCAGTACCAAATGTTCATCTTAAGTGCATCTCTTAAAAAAAAAAAAAAAACTTTTGTTTGTTATAACTATGATATTGAACTATTTAATCATCCCTAATCAAAATCATACAACTTTAATATCTGAAATCATTACCACATGTAAACCAATGATCCTGTAATGCCTTTTTTTTTTTTTTTCCAAAGCAGTCTCTTGCATCTAACAAATAAACTGAGCATTAACAACAGATAGAAGAAGCTCATATTGATACTTTGCAGTGACCTCACTCTGGGGGTGTTCTACATGTATGTGTATTGGTGGAATGTTTTGAGGTTACCATGGTGACACAATGCACATATTGACAAATACTGTCAAAAAGTTTTAAGAATGTCTGAAAACTCAAGAGAAGACACAAAATGGATTTAAACAACACATTTACAGGATCAATACGAGCGTTCCTGGTTCTTTAGTTTTGATTTTCAACAAAAATGGTGAGTGTGAGTAACTGAAAATCTGTTGGCTAATGCTAGCTTGCTTGTAACTACAACTTTATGTGTGAGAGACTTGTTTAACAGCACAAATCATCTCACTTGTTAGTTCTATATAAGTCAATTCCTTACAGTCTGATGATGTTAAAATAAAGCTCAGATTAAAGTTTAACCAAGCCGACAAACAGACAGAACAGAGCCTTCAGTTAGCATTACACCAGGGAATGTTGATGACATCTATACATGTCCAACTTCCCTCTATCTCAAATTCAGCTTCATAAGAGGCTTTTTGTGTTTAAGCGAAGTCATTGAGGGACCATATCTCATTCTGTCATGTCTAGTGAACTTCCTCCACCGTGGTTGTTGTGGAGGAAGCTTTTTTAATCATTTCACCATCAAAAATAATTCAATACATGTACGCTTTTAATGCCATTTAAGAGAAAACTGAAATCTGAGAGTGAATAACTGCTGGCTAATGTTACCTCGTGACTGCAATGTTATTTGAGAGGGAACCTGCAACTAAGTCAGGTCTTAATAGTCAGATTGTGTTAAAACAAGGCTCAAACTTGACTAACAGCGTCTAACTTGCGTGACAGCTTCAGACAGAGCAGTGCCTTTAGTTAGCATCACACCCCCAAGGAATGTTGATGACCTCAGTTGCAAAGTGTCAATACTTTGTCTTTATTCCAGGTGTGTTCTTACCTGACAGTCAGAGCTCGTGCAGCCTTGGTGACCCCATGGGAAGGAGAGCTGTTGGAGTTCTTGGTCAGGTCCTCCACTGAGCGCTCAGCTGGTCTACTCCTTTCTGATATGGAGCCGCCATTTTCAACTGTGTCCACATCAAATCTATAAGGTTTGAAAAAGATATTAAGACCAATACAATTTCAAAGCAGTAAAAGTTAATAGTAGAGATGTATATACATAGTATAAATCGCTGGTGAAAATACTTCTTACAAAATTGTTTTGTTTTGTTTCATTCACACATTTAACACACAAACCCTGCATATATTGAGTGTTCTTTTTTCAAACTGAAAACAGTCGGCTCCACCTTGTGATGTCACAGGTATATTTGAAAAACAAAGGTAAAAAGTAGCTATAATCTGCCACTATATGACATCACAATGTGGAACAGAGCATTTTGAGCTTGGGAGATGTCGACAGCCTAATAATAAAGGATTACTCAAACATGAAACAATGAAACAAAACATGGGTTAAAGCTCATAAGAGTCAATATTGCGTAATATAGGGTCTTTAATTAGAAAAAAATATATATGAAAAACTTACGGAGCATCACTTTGAGCGTGGGACAGATACTCGACCAAAACATCCAAACCTTTGTTCTGTTCATTCAGAAACTCTTGAGCCCAACTAATCAGAACAATCAGAAGTTTAGTCATTAATCAAGTATATATTAATGAATCATGCAACCCAATATATTACCCGATATGGTTCGTCCGCAGAGAAATCTCTAGGTTTTTAAGGACTTGTGTGGCTTCTTGGATCCTTTTCTTTACCTAAAAGTATATAAATTATTAAATGTACAAAACAACATAACAAATTAAGATTAGAGTGTAAAACTTGAGTTACACTGACCCTGCGTGGCACTCCTCCTTGGTCCTGGTATAAGCTCTTTATTTTTATTAGGTAAGTGGAAGGTGGACTTTTGACCTGGAAACGTTCCTGTGAAGAAATCATTTATAGTTTAATTTCAACTTTCAGATTCAGTGTGAGTCTTATGGCCTTATACAATACAATCCAAAGATTCAAGGGAACTTTATTGTCAATCATTTTCATATAAAAGAATGAATTACTGACTCAGGTCTCATTGAAATGAGCTGCTTAATTAGTTCATTAGTCTGACTGCGTCCTGGATACAATACAACAACAATAATAAGCAACAATTATGACCAACAGAGACACACAAACTAATTTGAAAAGTACAGCAAAGAAAGTTGCAGACTCAAAACATCAGATTGAAAACATCTGTCAGCTCAGTATTGTCCTAAAGCATTTTGTGAATAAAACAGCTTGTTCCTCCTCAAATTAAAGGGGAACACCTGTCAAAAGCTGGGGGATACGTTCTTATCTGGCAACACACTCTCACAGTATACAGTATGTATAAGTCCAGAGACTATTTGTAAGACAACTGATGACGGTGGTTAGATGATTACTGAAACTTACTGCAAAAGAAAATAAACAAAAAATCCACTTCTGACAAAAAGAAAAAAAACATTATTCCATTTTATTTTGTCTCATGTTAGTGAAGATACACTGCAACTACTACACACGACTACAATTCTATTACTACTAACAATACATGTCTTAAAAAGACTGACTGTCTTAATCTGGTTTAAGTGTTCCTGAAGGACAGAAGCAGAAAAAAACAATAGCACACAGCATCTTGTTATATTTACAAAATGCATTAATTATAGAAGAATAAATTATTATAAGAACAATCAAGTTTCTATGAAGTAGTTTGTGTCAAATATGTAGCAATATGTAGATATGAAAGCAGTTGCACCAAAGTAAAGTCATCTTAGGTCTCTTGTTTTTTCTTTTTTTTCTTTTAGACATTGCACAGCTCTGTTTCTATGCCGACGTCTTTATTTGTTACCCCCAGAAACCACATGAAGCCTTACCACAGCCCCTGATCTATGTACACTGAGCGTCACTCCAGCAAGTTACAAGCAGCAGGGTTTCAGATGACATAACATGTTCAGTAATCTATAGTGTGAAGCTGAGACAAACAAATGATTAAGATGTTAATTTACTATTTGTTATATAAACAGAGCGGGTAATTGGCTGTGTTCTAGTATTTGATAATACCATAATTTCAGATGGAGGGCAGGGGGCCTTATATAACTGTATACGGTAACTCTGGGAGAAATATTCAGACTTGATCTGTAAATATTGAACCTTATCATTTGCTTGGTGTTTTCTCCACAAACAATCATGTTTTTGGGGTTGAGATATGGCACCACTTTCTGTAGCTATTATGAAACAATTATTTTACTTTTTCTCATTTACTTGAACAAGGAATACATTGAGTTGAGTGCCTGTTTTGTTTCGACAGGCTCAGTAATTATAGAGATATTAAACCAGGTCAACAAATTTATTTTTCCACCATAGAACTCTGACCTCTCCTTCAGCTCAGTTTTTGACTACAAGAATCGTGAAATGTTATGCCCCATGAACACGTCCTACATTACCAACTATTGATTAAGCAGTAATAGTATAATTGTCAGTGTTTTCTGAGGTCTATTAGACTATTGATCAGGGCAGTAGACAGGAGGGACAAAGTGGTGTGTTGTCCTGGGCTCCAGGGTCTTAGGAGTCCAGAATTGGAACCTCTGCTTATTAATTAATATTAGAGGGGGGCCCATGTGAGACTTCTTGCCCCGAGCCCCCAAATTTTTGTTGATGGGCTTGCTATCAATACCATAACCTTACAAACTTATGCAGATTTACCTGGTCACAGACGAGCTCCCACTTCTTGTCATTGTCGTATTCACTGAGGAGCTGCAGTTTATCTGGAGGCAGGTTCATGTAGCTCTGCGTTAAAAAAAAAAAAGAAGAAAAAAAAAGGAAAACACAATTATTATTCACTGTCAGTTAGAGCATCCATAAGTGGCCAGTTACGTCTTATGGCAGAACTCAGTCTTAATCAGTAATGGAGTGGGTTGATAATAATCTGATCTAATAATCTGTCAAAATATTGGCAGCAAAAGATTTCCAAAAGTTGTTATCAGTTACCCTACAGTTGAAGTGGGTAGTTTAAGTAGTAGTAGTTGGATTCATAGTGGTAGTAGTAGAAATAATAGTTAAAGTAGTTGTACTACTAGTAGCAGTGACAGTAGTGTTGGTAGTAGTAATTGCACTATAGTAGGTTCTTAACTACTATAAAAGTGTATTTGAGTTAGTGAGTTAGTTAGTAGCAATTAAGCAGTAGTAGTTGTTGTATAGTAGTAGTAATAGTAGTACAACAGTAGTAGCAGTAGTACAGCAGTAGTAGTAGTAGTAGTAGTGCAGTAGTAGTTGTGCAAAAGTAGTAGTTATTGTGATATTAGTAGTAGTTGCACTATAGTAGGTTCTTAACTACTATAAAAGTGTATTTGAGCTAGTTAGTTAGAAGTAGCAGTTTAAGCAGTAGTAGTTGTTGTATAGTAGTAGTAGAGCAGTAGTAGCAGTAGTGCAGTAGTAGTTGTGCAAAAGTAGTAGTTATTGTGATAGCAGTAGTGGTACTTGCCCTATACTAGGTTCTTAACTACTACAAAAGCTTACTTGAATTAATTTATCTGGGGACTTTTCATCATTGCTCATTTTAAAATGCCATCCACCTTTTGTGATTAATAGCACGATCTTTGCAGACTGGACAGAAAGTGTCTGGGGCAGGAGCTCTGTCAGTAGAAACTGTACTACTGTATACCAGGTCAAACCACAAGTTCACTTTCATTGTAAAGTACAAGAGAATACAGGAAGCATAATTGACTTGTGTTTATTTGAATTCATTGTTGTTTCTAGGTAGCATATTAGCTACTGCACCAGTTGTGGCTGTTTGCTGTTAATACTTTGCACATTTGACGTCACTGGGGGGTGTTCTACATGTATCTCTATTGGCGGAAACAACAGTTACCATGGTGATACAATGCACACATAGCAAACACTGCCAAAAAAGTTTTAATATAGTCTAAAAACTCAAGAAAAAATAAAAAATGGATACAACACATTTTCAAGAGCCTGTGACAACTATGAGCGTTCATGGTCCTGTTTAGGTGTTTGATTTTCAATGAAAAAAAAAGGTGAGAGTGACAAACTGAAAAACTGTTAACTTGTGACTTGTGTTCTTCTATGTGAGAGATTTGTTTAACAGCACAAATCAGCTGACCTGTTGTAGTTCCAACCAAGTCAGCTCTTTCTAGTCAGACTGTGTAAAAATAATCATCAGATTAAATCTAACTTGAGTAACAAAGCTTCAGACTGAATAGTTCTTTCAGTTAGCACATCAGGGAATGATGACATCAGCTGTAAAGTATCAATAGTAACCCAACAATATAGCTTTGAGGGCAGAGAAATTGTGGTTTCTTTACACTTCTAGATAAATATTATTATTATTGTTATAGATGAATTAATACTTTTGAGAGAATAATTCAAAATCCACCCACCCATACATTTGGGTTTCAGCTCCTTAGGCTATTTTGAAGATTTTTCATTTCTCTCTGATCATATATTGTTTATATTTGCAACAGTCCTAGTTTTTCATCAAGCTCGATTCTCTGGTAAATAACAACATGGTTGAGTCAACTGTGAGGCACAGCATTTTTTTCACACTGAGTTATTCTGGGCAAATATTCACAAAAAAGCAGTAGTAGTTGTAGTTTGTAGATGTAGTTATTGAAGGAGTAGTCAAAGTAGTAGCACTAGTTGCAGAGGTAGCCACACTGTACTCATAGTGGTAGTAGCAGAAATAGTAGTAGTAGTAGTAATCGTGGTGGTGGTGGTAGTAGTAGTAGTGGTAGTGGTAGAAGCAACAGCACCGGTTATAATGCAATTGTAGTAGTGCATAAGTATAGTCATTGTAATAGCAGTAGTAGTAATAGTAGTTAGTGGTGGTAGTCGTAGTAGCTGCAGTATAGTAAGTTCCTAACTACTATAAAAGCTTAGTTAAAGTAGTAGTAGTCACCACCAGTAGTAGTGCAGTAGTACTTATTTTAGAAGTAGTAGTGATAATCCTAGTGTTACGTGTTAGGAGGTTGGATATTTTGTTTTAAATTTGCAACAGCCCTAGTTTTTCATCATTCTGAAACTGATGAATACAGATAAACAAAGGTGTGGCCTGTTAGCACAACATGGAGAGAAGCGGAAATGGCTGTTAGGTTAGTTTTAAAGCTCTCTCGCCTTGTCCTCGGTGAGGTGAGGGTGGGGTGAGGGTGAGGTAGGGAGGGGTCCTATAGCGGTATATGTGGTGCAACTTTAAGTTTCAAAAAGGAATATAAGCGTTAGTCTGGAACTCGCACTGACACACACGTAATGGCACCAAGTTTAGAAACTGTCAAAATGGAGAAGGAAGTCCACTTCTCAGTTCTTTTAACACAAAAAGCAAAACCTAAAGCCCCACTGTGAAGAAATGCCAACATATTAGATCATTTTAGAAATTATAGATCTGTTGTATTCAAGGAAGTGAGGTCATATTTTGATAAGTAAATGTTTTATTTTAGTTTACTTATCAGTATATTCATTTATGTGGTTTGAAAGGGAATGTAATTTAATCTTCTGGCATAGACAATAGTATTCTGTTATTTAAAATATATTTTTACAGTTTTACTTTTTGTATTGCTTTCACATAGCATTAAAGTGGACATTTGATAAATTTTTCACCCCTGGTTTCATCTTGAACTTTCTTATGGATTTGTTTGGATAAGATGTGTTTAGCTCTTGTTTAGACCCAGTACAAGTGTGAGAACTAAGTAATTTTGAGTTTGATGTAAACAAAGTCTGAGGCAATTTTTTAAATTATAGGATCACATAGGCAAATAAAATATACATTGCAAGCCTAAAATTTTTGCAGCATCTTTCAAAACACTCTGATACCCAAACATTTAAGAATTTTACAGAAACAAAAATTTAAAAAAATCTAGTACAAAAAGATTTTATGTACTGCACTATATTGTTTACAGATCCTTGACACTTTTCTTTATATTGTCTCAAAATTCTTAGACCATTTTATTTCCTAACGTTTCAGTGATGAAAATATGGTGAAACGTTTTTTTTTCCGGTCTCATGGTGTCTGACATAGAAACATGTTGCTCAACTTCCCCTTGGGCCCAGCTGCACTAATCACTGAGCATGAAAAGTAAAAAAAACAAACAAAAAACTAAACTACACTTGTGCTATAACGTGGTTGTAATACCTGAGATGTGTCTCAGGTATTTCTCAGGTATTGCAACCACGTGCCTCTGTAAATCTTTCACTATGATACAACTCTTCTTTGTGACGAGCTGGGTGACTCAGGACACTTAGAAACGTAGGTCTATCTGATTTGAACTTTATAAAATTTTTCCCATTGCAAGTTTCAGTATATAAATTACAAATCTATGTCTTAGGCCACCCATATTAGAATTTTATTATTTAAAAGATCCACTATGTAACTTTTCTGTTGCAGGGTCTGCTACTGTCTTGCCTTTATGGGTTTGTCTGTTTGTATGTTGTACAGTTTGGAAACAGACTTATCTATCTCCATGGAGACGAGCAGGTGACGCCATCTGTAGAATGGTTACCCGCTCACAGTAAGAAGGCATATAGATATCTTTGAGCAATAAAGACAGTTGAACAGAAATAAATATAGATCTGTGAATGTTATACATGCAAAGTGATGAGAAGGTGACAGGCAGGTAGAGGACACGCCACCAGAAAAGTGACTTAGTGCACCTTTAAAGTCAGTTAAAATGCTCAATGGCATACATGTACTAAAATATAGGTGGACTAGTGAGTGAGTGGAGTGTAACTTTACTAGTGGAGTGTCTGCCAACTGCTCATTTATTTTGAGATCATCTTGCCTCTTTTGGAATGTTTCACAGTATGGCATTAAATTTAAGTATCTCCATGGAGACAAGATGCCAAGTTACAGATCAGGTATCGCACTCCCACTCAGAGAAGGAGGGCATGTTTTTCCAAAACATTTTTGAGCAATAAAACACCATTTGAATAAATGTATGATTTAGTTTATTGCCATACTGTGGAAGATTTCAATCAAAGCCATGTCGCAATGGAAACCAGCAGGTGGTAGACAATTTACATAAAGTCACTTAGTCACTGGCACAAGATGTAGGTGGACTAGTGAAAAAGGTGTAGCCTACTTTATTGAAAGTACTGTTTATTTAAAATACTATATGTCACATGTGGTAAAACTACTCTTAAGAATTACAGTTTATTTAATATGATATTCTGATATTAGAGCGCGTTTCACCATATACTCTCTTCTGCCAGCAGGGTTCATAATGTCTTAACTTTTTGTCCATAATCTGTACTCACCAGCACCATATTGAACCTCTCTTGCAACTCCTCTTCGGGGGGCATGGGAGGTGGGGGCTGCTTCTTCTGCAGGGACACTGTGGAGTCTCCCATCCCAGTGCTGGACGCCCCCACAGAGCTCCTGGCCTCTCGCCTCTCTGATGGGTCCTGCTCCACGCTGCCCGCCGCCGCATTCCCCATCACTAATCTCCACAAGTAATCCAGGGGGAAAAAGTGCACTTACACCTCAACAGAGAAATCTAAGTGTACCAAATTAGAGTGACAGTTACTATTTGTCACTCCAAGAGTATCAAAACAAGTTGTCTTCAATGAAAATCTTAGTTACATTTTAGTCCTGAAATTAGCCATGCAAATACAAAATAAAGTTTAGTTTCATGTCTGTAATCCAGAAGTCCACCTTTTTATATCTGAGTTAAAAAAAATCCTTGTTTGAAATATGATTCTGCTGCCTATCTTACTGCATGTTCTCAGGTTGACCAAGAACGCATCTAGTGATTTTAGAGCTCAAAGTTGGTGTGTGAGAGGAAGGCGAGGGGAGTGTGTCACACTGTGTAACAGAGACAGAAACCACAGCCTTTCAAAAGCAGAAGAGCAACTTCCTGTCACAAACAGCACCAGCAGCAACAGCCTGCAGGGTGGAGGACACAGAGGAGGCACTGCTGGCAACCACTTCTATGTCCTATGCATGGGTTTCAGTGTGAAGCAGATCTAGCGCCGTTGCCATAGCAATTCATAATTCTAAACAAAATATAACAAAATAGAGCTAATATATCTTTTGAATTGGCAAAAGTCCTCAAAATATCACTTATATTATATAGTTGTTGTATCTGAACTACTATAGATTGCCCATTAAAAAAATATAAAAATGAATTAGGCTATAGTGATAAACTGTTAAAGGAACTCATTGAAATGACCATACAATAATAATCTGCAGTAACAATAGAATCTTTTATAAGTTATATTTGTATTTTTATAGTTCTGTAAATTCATCTAAAAGTATTTTGCCATTAGTTTTTCAGTCAAAGTCAAGACTGCCCCAGGGCCGTCAATGAACCATCAAAGCACTGTACCAGAGCGCCTCTCTGTGGCTAAACCCTGTCACTACCATACAAACTGTACAATAGTGCTGCCTTCACGTGTTGTCGTTACAAGAAAACTCCATTATACATGCCGTGTTTTAAAGTACTTCTTTCAAGTTTTGCCATAACATATAAATAAGCAATTGCTTTTAATGATTGTTGATAAAATATACATGTACAATCATTGCAATTATGAAGATACATTTGTTTTTGTTGCAGTAGGTATAATTTTTGTTTTTAAGTTATAAAGTTGGTTGTAACGTTTCCATCATGCCCGTGAAGGCAGCAGAGGTCTTATTTTGCAAGATGACGGATCCTACGACGTCGCCAGAAGACCACTGGAAAGTAAGTAAAGTGAAGTTAATGCGAAACAACACTGGTATTTTAGTTAAGCCGATCCGTACATGTGGAAAAAGTGGGGATTAATGTCAGTGCTATTTTTTTCAGTTGTCTGAAAGTTACGCTAAAACAAAGGAGCCTTAGCTTAGTTAGCCCCAAAGCTAAATTGGGCTAGGTAGGTGCGGATGAGAAAGGCTGGCGGTGTGTAATAAAAGAAGGAAAGTTTGTTCACAGTTGCTTAAAATCAACAACTTTGTGCATATATCGGTGAATTGCAATCAGTTTTGAGCGTGTCTCGTAGTGTTATTAGAAAGCATTTGAATCTGTGTATCAGCTGTGCATGTGCAATATTACAACATTGAATCACATGTTTCAAAATAAGGAAACAATCTGTCATGTGGGTTGTTCTGCAAAATAAATTATAGTGTAAAAAGTTCATTGTGAGTCATGATATGCTCTTGTATAATAGTAATTGTCATGTTTTAACGTGATAGTTGATTGTTACAAAGAGATCAGGTTTTGCTAGATACTTCCTTGAGGTAAAAATAAATGTAATGGGAATTGCTTTTTACACAAAAAAATCGCTATGATACTGCTGGCTAAACAAAGCATTTTATTCTTATTGTTTTGACCGAGAAAACATGTTTTTGTCTCATTTTGACCCATTTATGTGTAATTACACAGACGTTGATTTACAGTGACTTATTCATGGCTGTACCTCTTGACATATACTGTATATGAGTCCACTTAAAGGTGCAGAATGTAACTTTTTGGTTTAAAATGCATTATTTGCTGCTTGTCTCCATACGTTATTGTGTTGCCTAAAATGTTCCACAGTATTTCCTTATCTATCTCCATGGTCCGTGAACATTAGCAGCTGATGACACTAGGTCAAGTTACAGGTCAGATCTGTGGAAATGCAACCTTGCACACAGTAAAAAGTACTAGTGCCTGGTTTTGAGTAATACAGCCTACACTGTAAATTGTAGTGTCGAATTAACACTTAAAGAATAAAATTTTACTCTATTTCCGAGTGTATATTGTTCTTATCTGTACAGAGTAAGATTTACTCTAGCTTCAGAGTAAAAATATTCAGTGTCAAAATGACCCCTATAGAGTAAGATGATGACACTGTAGTGTTTTCTGAATTTTACTCTGGCAGATTATTTACTCTACTAATAGTACTAAAAGTAGTGTTTTACTCTGTTGTGGTGCTAATAATGACACATAAATGTGTTATTAAAAATCACTCTAATAACACTACATAGAGTAAAAATTACTCTTTGTAAGGGTCAAATTTAATCATATTTACTCTTGCAAGAGTTAATTTCACTAATTTAGTAGTGTAAATTTAAATTTGCTACTAGATAAATAAAACCACAAATTGCCAATATAAATGTAAATATGTTGATTTTAAAACATAATTTAAATAAAACATTGATCTAAGATTCAAAATGACAATAAAGGTACAACATACTTGGATGAATCCAATGTTCCACATTTCAGCTGAACAAATGGCTTATAGTAACACATCTTGTACACTGTTAACACTTGTATAACTTTATCTGGATGCCATTGGATCTCAAAAGCATAGAAATGATGGTCAAAATAGACAGTGTCACAGAAATGGCTTCTCTGTGTGCCTCCAACATACCTGGAGTTGTGTTTTATTCACGACACTTTCTTCCAACTTGTGATGTCATGTGGCAATACATGAAGTGCTCCACTATGTTTTTAAACACTATACACCTTCACTAGAATCATTTGGATCATTTCAGCTCTGAAATTTCCAATCTCTATTGAACTAAAGATTAAAGGAGCTGTTAACTTGAAAACTACCACCTCATTACATCAGATGGGACAGAGCATTTTGAGTTTTGGAGATGTAGACAGACTAAGAACAAAGAGTTACTCAAATATCTGTGAATGAAACAAAACAGAACTCCAGGTATGTATGAGGAGATAACAGCATTAGAAGATGGCTTAAATCTCACAATTGTCTGTGTTCGTAAAATAGGACTTTGAATGCCAACATCTCAGACAGCATCAGCCAATTCAGTAGCTAGTGCAGTATGGTCAGTGTGCTTGGCATTTAAGTGCTTTCTAAAACCTAGAGAATTAACCTAAAACATGGCCACATCCAGTCTCAACACATCTAAGACAAAGGGTAGTCTCTGGAAAAAACCCATGGAACAGTTTAATATGACTAACAAGCAAATTTGAACTCAAACTCAGCCCAGCAAACACTGCACTTCATAGAAACACTAAAGAAGTAACCTTGCTCTTATTTCTGTAATACGAGGACTCCCTCACCTCAACAACAATATTGTAAATTGTGGTCTGAATGAATGTGTACATGTTGTACAACATGGTGTGGTATGATGTGCCAAACACAAATTGTGCCTTTAACAACTCATAAAAAGCACTTAAAGATTTGGACATACAGGGGATGACAAGGATTGGCTGAACCTGTTCCATTGAGTGCCAACAGAGAGGAGATAAGGCTGAGTGCTTGAAGTGATGGTGTCGAGATATTCTTCAATACTTGTGCCACTCTAAAAAACAAAGACAAGATTATTAGTTTTTAAATAATAGCATAAAATTGATCTTTACATAAGAAATAAAGTGGAGGTAACTCTGCATGCTGGTTAACATTAGAAACAAACATCAAACATCAATTTCAATGATTTGACCAAGAAAGTATCCCCACCTTATTGAAGACCACAAGATGTTTTTCTGCTTGAGATGCTGACATCTTCCCCAGTTTATTACGGCCTTGAGCAGTGAGCGGAACAAAATGCAGCAGAGGTAGCAAAACAGAAGCAAAGTCACTATCCCTGCCTTAAAACCAAAACAAACAAACACACAATTACTTTACTTAAGAACAGATGTTAGTTTTGGATTGAGTTTTAATTGTCATAGGACATTTGCATGTTAACAAAGAATTTGGAAAGTTGGCTAATAACTTACCAAAGTCAGCACCACCACCATCATACTCTGGAGGATCTGCAGCCAATAGGAGGTCATCCAGCTCTATGGTGGAGGGAAGCTTTCTACATTGCTTGATTATCTTCTCTTTGAACATTGTTGGCCATTTCTCCAGAAACTTGCCAGATACATCCTCGCCAAACATCAGCAAAATCTTGTTCAATCTTCATTGAGAGAACAGAATAGTTCAGGCCTACATGAATTTGCAGGTGAATGTGCATTTTTTAAGGCATTGTAATTGGTAATTACCAGTCCTTTGACGTCTTTGAAGTGAGGAAAATGTGACAGTATGTTGCTTGACAACTGGGGGTCCAGGACCATGCTTCGACGATGAGCTTTGGGTGTTTGAATTTGTATTGTATTTAAGCCTCCAGGCCAAGTAGTCACTGTCACTTCTACCATCATAATAATGCTCCTGGGTGTAACAAAAAAAAAAAAAAAAACTTTTATTCTCTAAAATTTCTATCAGGAAAAAAAAGGGGGAATACACTGAAAAATAACTCACATGTCCATTTTCTGCGAAGGGGTCCCAGACATGGGGGAACAAGTTCCCAATCCCTTTGGCATATTTTTCTTTCACTTGTCTGGGTGGAGATGTACTGCAAAATGAGACAGATAAATTACCGTACCATTCCATACCATACCATAAATTAACTGTACATTAAACGCTGTAGATAAATAAGTAAAAACATACTAATTTTTATCAGCAGCAAAAATGTTCACCATTTTTTTCCAGGTGTCATCTGCCAAAGCCTTAGTTCAATTGTACTCCATTAACCTTTCTCCCCCAGGCTTTTTGGAAAGAATGTCTTTCACCAACTATATAAAAAGGAAAGAGAAAATTGGTATTACCACCAAGCATTTCAAAATGTACAGCATATACTAATCTGTGTGTACAGTATTCAAGCTGTACACCTTCACTTACGTCATGCATGCTTATCCTCGTCATCCAATCACTGAAGCTTTGAAGCAGGACTAACAGGAAGGATGATTGTGTCCTAGCAGTCACAACTGCTGGTTGTAGAAGCACATAGTCCAGGAGAACCGACAGTCTCAACATTCTCTTTGTAAGAAGAAAAGTAAAACACACTTTAAAAACATTGTGTTTTGAGGCTATCAGCGAGTTAAGACCATCATACGTGATGGTCAGAACACCACTTTGAGGATCCTTTACCACATCCTCAAAAACATCCTCATCAAGCTCAGTTCCAGAACTGTCGCAGACACGTACGCCTTCTGTCACTGCTGGAACCCCAAACTTAAAAAATAATAAAAAGAAATAAAAAAGTATGAACAAATTTTAAATAAAATGAGACTCACCCACTGAACAATGGTGATGCATTGGGGACAATAAAATTATTAAAATACAATTTTTTCCTGTTTCCCATATTGATATTACAGGTTTTTCCCATTGTTTTTGGTTAACAAAGACATGCTGGGCTGTCAGGACAAAAAAACGGAATATTCAGAGCAGCACTGTACACACAGAAAGTTTCAGACACTTGCCATGTTTCATTTGCAAGATTGTTGTTAATATATACTCTTAAAGAGTAAAAGTAAAAAAAAAAAAAAAAAACTTTTACTATTTATTTTTTACACTGGGAAATTTACTGTGTACCATTTTTTGAGTAATATACCCTACCAGTCAATTGTTTGGCCACACCATTTGATTAAATGTGTTTTTTTTCCTACTTTGTACATTTTATATACATATGAAAGACATCAACAATATGAAGTGAAGTAAGATACATACAATTATGTAGTAAAGAAATAAAGTTAAATAACTCTGCCAATAAAAATAAAAAAAAGATTAAAATCCTTAAGCAAATCCCCCTTTGCTTTGTCAAAAATATTTAGTATAATTATTTTACTTTTTTCTTTGCTAAATAATTCCATATATCTTACTTCATATATTTGATGTCTTCTGTATGTATCTAAAATGTAGAATGTAGTAAAAGTATAAAAAAAAAAAAAAAAAAAAAACATTGGATGAGGGTGTGTCCAACTTTTGACTGGTAGTGTGGCTGTAATTGATTAAATGCAAGATAACGTGGTTAATGCCATACAGTGGAAAATTCCAGGCTAAGCAATAATATCGCTATGGTGTTATTTTGGTGATAAGCAAAATTAGAATATGAAATGTCAATAGTTACTATGCTAAGTCAAAAATAATAAAAAAAGAAAACTAATCTTGCTGTGTAAACAAGGTGATAATGTGATTGTTTATTTTTTTGTTTAATTAACCAAAACAAAATTGCTAAAATATTATCCATGCAATTTTTCAATCTGTAATCAGTAATAAATAAATACTTAACAAAAAACATAACAGTGTTTTAATTAGGGGTGTCAAATTATCACGTTAATTGCGATTAATTAATTACAGTCATATTTAGCGCGTTATGTTTTTTAATCGCGTTAATCTAATTTTTAATCTCTAACTTTAGTGTTTCTGTATGTGAGTTGCTTTATTATAAAACCTGTTTTTATGTGTAGTTGGGACAACAACAACACAAACACACACACAAAAAACACATTTATACATTTTTTTATTTCGGTAATTCCACTCATTGCCGGAAACCCGCACAAAACGCACGCGGTAAGAGCGATGTAAACGTCATGTTCACGTTGGCGGCGTCAGTCACACGATGGACGAGGTCGAAGAGCCAGTAGAACAGAGTGAGCAGTGCACAGGTAAAAACGCATTCGTGTCTTGGAAATTATTCTCCCGACGTGAAATATAAAAGAAAATAACAAATATAATATCGCCTACAACTTAAATGTCACTGGTGAAAACAACCTGCATAGGCTCATGATGTCTGCACTACTGTCCTATAGTGACCTGCCACATGAGGGGACACGCACACAAACACACACAAACACAAACAAACACACACCTTCATCATCGTCATTAACCTCAGAACGCGGGGACCACGTTTCCTTCCGTAGTTACTGCGCGGACACCGACGTGCTCCCGTGCGCCGCGTGTGGATCGTGTTTTCTCGCGTACGCTGCGTAAACTGCGCTTCCTCCTGTGCGCCTCTAAACCAGAACTAACACCAAGACTAAAACCAGGACTAATCCAGTCCAGGACTAAACCAGAACTAAAACCAGAACTAAAACCAGGTCTAAACCAGGTCTAAACCAGGTCTAAACCAGGTCTAAACCAGGTCTAAACCAGGACTAAACCAGAACTAACACCAGGACTAAACTAGGACTAAAGCAGGTCTAAACCAGGACTAAAACAAGGACTAAAACCAGTGATCTCATATATAAAACATTTCTCTATTAATAATATTTTTTAATATGGTTAAGGAAAGACTGGACTTTTTATTGTCTTTAAGTAGACAAAAGTTATTATGTTCAGATTTCCTCGTCTTTGCTACTTTACAGCAAACAGTTTCTTATTCATGGAGACTTGGGCTCAACAGCCAATTTGGAGAGATTTGTTAAACAATAAATGACTTTATAAAGTCACTTTTTTTTTAATCTATATCAGTCTTTTGATCTGCCACAATAATGTAATAATGAATTTAAATGAAAATACCTCAAATTGAAGGCTTTTCTCAGCAATTTTTAGGTGAGATTAAAATGAGATTAATTAGATTAATTAATTACAGATCATAATTAATTAATCTCTCAATTTTTTTTATCGCATGACAGCACTAGTTTTAATCTCATGTTGTGTTTTTACACTGTAATGCACCTTGCTGTAAATTCATTGTAAAAGTATTCAGAAGAATACAGTACCTTGATAGAATAATGTATGTTATGTTATGTTACAAATATATATTTAATGCAGGTATTCTGTCACTAAAAAAAAAAAAACATTCTTCCCATCTCTAAATATCATAATAACATTAGAGATATGCATTTCTGTCAATATCTAGATTTAACTGTATTTATGAAAATGAGTCTTCTTAAAATCTCACTTTGTTTACAATAGATCCGTTGTGCCCATTACAACCCACACAGTGTAGTTTTATGGATAAAGGGCGACATATCTGTGATTACAGGCTAATTCACAGGTGCTGTGTTTGGATGGGGGGATTGAGGGCAGGGCTCAGTAGGGGGCAGCTTGGTCAGGCTGCAGGTTATCGTTCTTTTGTCACTGAATTTAGGGCAGCACACTTTCTCTTGTTATCGCTTGTCTCAGTCTTTTTCTGCTCTCTTTCTCCTCTGGCTCCGGTGATGGCTCAGCAGACTGACGGTGCCTTCAGTGATGGAGGGTTTGACCACAGTAAGTTTATACACTATTTTAAAGCAAAATATTTATTATTATTTTTACTTAAACTTTGTTAATGTGATTTTTGTTTTTTGTTTTTTTAGGTTTCTTTGCTGAAACGGTGAGAAAGGATCCAGTCGTATCCAGGGCCAACAGCATCGGCTCCACAAGTGCCTCCTCAGTACCAAATACAGGTAGATTATGCATTAATTAGTTATGGCCTGTATTTTTACTGTTGGGTGGCTTGCATTGCAATAATATGTTAGTTATACATTATACTGTATTAATACTGTTCAAATTATTTTACAACTGAAAAAGATTTTCTCAATAACAAGCTTAACTTGATGTTTTAAATGTAAGCCTTATGTCTCAGGGAGTGGATGATTCTTGTTAATGGGTTTACAGTTTTATGTCTGTTGCTTGTAAGGTGGTAGTCACTTTTATTTTATTTTAATGTTTTGATGATATTTAATAGTGCAAATCACAATACAGTCATCTTTCCCATACTTTCAATAACAACCCAAATAGGAAAATAGGAAATATTAAACACATTAACAACAATAAGTGAACATTATTGTAATTTAATTGGCTGTACCTGCTTGTCAATGCTTGAACTCAGATCTCGGAAGCTAAGCAGGGCCGGGCCTGTCCTTAGGCAAGACCTTTAACCACTTGCCTAATATGAATGTGGTGTGTGAGTGGGTGATGGTGGTGGTTGGAGGGCCCAATGGCGCAGCTTGGCAGCCTTGCTTGTCAGTCTGTCCCTGGGGCCAGTGATACTATTTTTTTCACAAGAGCCACATTGGAAGAGCAAAATCAAGAGCAGAGCCACTTATACCCAACATACGCCAACATACCAGGTCACTTTTGCAAATGTGCATTTCTACATATAAATTGGACATCCCATTAAACAAAACAAAACAACACAAAAAAACATCCTATACATTTCCAGTTAAAACCATATTTACCTTAATTCTAGGATGAACGGTAGCTGGCATGCCTTCACTTTCTTCATAGATAGTAAATAGTGAATTTTCTTAATCGATCGTCGGGAGAATTAACAATCGATTTTCAATTAATCTTTAACGTTTTTAATCTTAAAATTATGTCATTACTATTACTAATCTGCATAAATAAACTCAACTTTACAACATATAAACCATAACCACAATGGAGCAATGTCAGCCCATTTGAGATTATAATATGTTTAATGCAGCTTTGCGCACATGCATTTTTACAGAAACTAAACTTAAAACCGTATGGCTCATTTGCATAAACTATAAACCTGGGGAAAAAACAGCTCTTTCTATGTGAGCTGATGTGTCAGCTTCTGTCGGCCTAATGGATATGGATCAGTGGGATGTGAATTGTTTCTGTGATATGTCTCAGTGGGATGTGGGATCTTTCTCTGACATGTTAATGTCTGCTAATGGTGAGTCTGTTCTGTGCGTTGAAGATCTTCATGTTTTCAGAAATGTTACATGTGCTAGCGCAGCTCTTCATTTAACATTTTATTTCACTCACTTTATTTATGTTGATCACTTTATTTAGATGATGTTAATCAAGAGCATAGACTACTTTTTTAAAATGCGACTCGTGTTCAATATTAAATTTTTTTTTTTTGCAGTGGGAGTTGTGGGTGGGTTAGTTGAAAACCTCGGTCAGGTACGTGAGCTAGACCGTATATAGCTAACGCGCTAGTCGCCACGTGCTGAATAGGAAGTTTGCCAGGAGGCTCTTCCGGCTTCTTCTGACCCTGGCTCTAATTGCCTTACATTGGGATCTTGTCGTCCCTCTCTGTACCTGCTGCAGTGAACCTCATCTTTGGTCTTAAAATGTTCGTATTAACTCGCTCTACATTATCTTTTTTTTTCGCTATTCTGTCCGTCATAAAAATCATTCTTTTTTACAATTTGTGATCGGGTACGGGTCATTAGTACATGGACCCGCGCATCACTGGTTGCTGGTGTCACGGTGCCTCCTGTAGGAAACACCATTAATTCTTGATTTATACTTAGTGTTATGCAGATGTTTGTGTTGCAGTGTTCACTATATGTTTCTCTTGCACATTTGGAAAAAAAAAATATTGGCAATGTTACTATTTTTTTGTATCAGCTTGCGAGCCACCAGTTAAAGCTGAGTGAGCCGCTTGTGCCTTGCGAGCAGCGCAATGAGTATCCCTGCCCAGGGCAGATGTGGTTACAACACAAAAAAAGCAATGTTGTGAATGAATATGCACTGTATATTGCTTTTGGTCTCTTGAAATGTGCTAAAAATCCAATGCATTATCATTATTATTAGTATAATGTGTAATATTATTTCATGTTTAAATTATTCTTTTGTTTGTTTTGTAGATGATGAAGACAGTGACTACAGACATGAGACTTCTTATAAGGACTCGTACAAAGATCGGCGGAGACAAGCGCACACACAAGCTGAACAGAAGAGAAGAGATGCTATAAAGGTGAGTCTATTGTACTATACAGATATTTATAACTCCTCTTTTCTATTGTATATGACTAATACAGTGTGCTTTTAACAATAGAAAGGCTATGATGATCTGCAGTCCATAGTGCCCACCTGTCAGCAGCAGTCTGAATTTGCAGTGGGAGCACAGAAAATCAGCAAAGCCACAATACTGCAGAAAAGTAAGAGTTTAGTGTATTTAAAGCATCAACCTTTTGTGTTCAAACAGGGGTGATTTGTGTGATTGTGTGGGGGCACCGCTGACTCATTTCTTTATGTCTGGTCCTTCACAGCGATTGACTACATCCATTTTCTCCACAAAGAAAAGAAGAAGCAGGAGGAGGAAGTGTCACTGCTCAGAAAAGAAGTCATGGCGCTAAAGATTATGAAAACGTAAGATGGAAAAGATAACTTAGCTAGTCTGATAAAGTTAGGTTAGGGTTGTGCAAGTAGGGAAAATGAGGTGTAGGGACTGTTTTGCAAGTGCTCTGACCCAATTGTAAAGTGGCAAAGTCATTTCTAGCTTTGTATGGTCCAGCTGCAAAATAGTGTTTACCAGACTACAATAGAGCTATTCCTTAGCAGCTCCCCTTTCATGTGTCAATCTGTTGAACTTGCAAAATAAATAAATAAATATACATATTCAATACATTATAAATAATTCTTTATCAAATAGACAGGTGTTGTTAAGTTGGCTATCAGTTGAAAACTAAATAGCTGCAGTTACAGGTTACAAACTCAGCTGTGGGGGCCCCCTTGTGGATGTGGGGCCCTCTGCTTATGATGCTTAAGTATAGGTTTGCTTATAGCGATTGTTCAGTGCAGTAAGAGATTTGTTAAAACACTGAAGAAAATACTAGGCCCTGTATTATAATGATGATGTTTGTATTTTTAATGACCACAATTTTACAGCATTGATACGGTTTGATTTTAGCTCAAAACAACTGTGTTTATGTGAGATGTTCTTAATGATCAATCAGTGATCAATGACGAAGTGATCAGTTTTTATTAAAGGTGCACTGTGTAACTTCTCTGGTGCAGGGTCCATCAAAAGCTTTTTTCCATAGAGATGTTATTGCTTTGTCTACAATGTTTCACAGGCATTAAACCTTTCTATTTTCATGGAGATTAAACCAGACCAAGTTATGGGTCAGTTTTGTGGAGAGGCAACCCAGCTCACAGCCTTATAAACGTAAGGCAGAGCTGTTTAATGTCATACTGTGGAACATTCCAAGCAGAGTAATGACATACCTACAGAAACAAGCATGTGACAAACCCCCAACCAAAAAGTTACATAGTGCACCTTTAAGTCTTGGGCTACCATTTTAACCTTTTTCGATAATCTTTGTTTTAACAGGAATTACGAGCACATAGTGAAGGCCCACCAGAACAACCCTCAGCAGGGGCAGGATCAAGTGTCGGACCAAGTGAAGTTTAACATCTTTCAGAACATCATGGACTGTCTTTTCCAGTCGTTCAGCAGCTCAGTGTCTGTCAACAGCTTCCAGGAGCTGTCGGCCTGTGTGTTCAGCTGGATCGAGGAGCACTGCAAGCCCCAAGTGAGTACAGACCAGAAAACAGGGCCACAGTGGTTAATGGGAATAATCTTGACTGACTGATTTTTAAAATAAGACATGACAAAAGGCACTTTACATCATTGTCAATACGTTACCTGTCTCTTTCTTTTCTTCCACTCTTTGATAAACACTTTTCATTCTTCGTAAACCTGCAAATCCAACAATTTATACAGCACATTAGAAAAAAGGCGTTTTACAGTCAAGAGAGTTGGCAAGGCAAGGCAAATTTATTTCTATAGCACAATTCTTACACAAAGTAATTCAAAGTGCTTTACAGAATAAGAAATCCATTAAAATCACAATACAAATAAATCAAAACATAAATAATCATAAAATTAAAAAGAGAGAGAGAGAGACATTACATTAGAGAGAACAGTGCAGAATGAAAAATGAAATGAAATTGCATTATTAAATCAAAATGGGACTACTTTTCATGATTTTCATTGTGCAATGTAATTATTTTGTAAATATTCTCTATATCTGTTAGCGTATTTTACCCTTTAAATAATTAGTTTACTCATATATTTGTTATCTGTACAATACACAGGCTCCAAAACATGCCATGTGCTGAGAAAAGTGGTTTCATGACTCAGACAAAACAGTAATTACATGAAAGTGGCACAGAAAACATGTATTTGAATGTTTTTGAGGAAGTCTTTTGTATGTAGCCTGTAAGTATATAGATCATCACTTTAGCTTCATCTGGGTCAAATTTGGGAAAATGTTGCAATTAAATAAAAAACAATATATTTGAGAAATATGGTTAGATGCAACCCAATATCCCTTTTGTCAAACTAAAATGTATAAATGTTATCATGTATAGTAGCTCATTTAAGTATACAGATGACTGCATACTGAAGCTAACTTCATCTGGGTCAAAATTTGTCAAATGTTGAGTTCAAATTAGATATTGATAAACTGGAAAAATAATCTATTATAAAAAATATTGTTGCATGCAACCCAATATCCTTTTTATCAGACTAAAATATATTAATGGTGTAATCTATTGTATTTCACCTACATATACAGATCAATACTTTAGCTTCATCTGGGTCTAAATTAGTCAATTGTTGATTTTAATTATTTAGCGATCAATCAAAAAATAATTTATTTGAAAAAGATTGTTTTATGCAACCTAATATCCTTTAACTAATGTATTAATGTTGTATTTTTGTTGTCAGACTCTGAGGGAGTTTGTGGTTGGCGTTCTTCGGCAGCTTAACGGACAGCTTTATTGATCCAGTGCACTGTGAACTTTTCCACTCGGACTTTGTACTTTCTCTGGCCTTTTGGGACAGGATGAAAGCCTTTACCGACCTTGGGTTACACCTTTAGTATTATTCATTCACTGCAGCTTAGCCGTGACCCAGGCTGCAATACCTCAACCCACCACATGGGCATATTCTCATGTTGCTTTTTATTGTTTGTATTCTACAGTATTGTAATCTTCAGATCCAAGTTCAAGAGATGTCATTGCTGTATGTTTTCAGTTGTGCCAGTTAAGATGGAGTAGTTCAGTGTGACGTCATCACAGCTTGTTCAGGTCCAAATAAGAATGTTCGCTTTCCTCTGAATCGAAAAGAAATTAAGTTTCTGGTTATATTTTTATTATCAAAATGATTAATAGTATTTTATTTTGGACATTGATCATTTTAGTATACATATTTAATGTGTAAAAACTCCATGCTGTATATTTTGTGTTTAAAATATAGTAGTGTATGATCTTGGGATTTCCATTGGACCCAGAAGTAGAGCGATGGCGTCACTTGACCTCCCATTGTCTTAATTTTATTTGTAGTTCACCGTACCATACAGGTACTCCACACCATTACTTTAATCTTGTTTTGAGTTGAGGTCATTCACTTGAGATCATGACAAAGCCTTATGCATTGAGTTATTCACTATTGTTCAGCTGAGAGTGGGTGAAAGACACTGTGGGGTTTATCCAAAGTTTTACTTTATAAGCTACTTGTGGCCTTGATCACTGGAACTGCCCTAATTATTCAAATACATGTTTTATACAAACCAAAAGCCTGCTTCTCTTTTTTGCCCTAATTACAGTTTTAGTATTACAGTTTTACTTCCTCTTTGTCACATCTACATTCCAAAGGTATCGGCTTGTGTACAATTAAAACTATATTCAATGTCCTTAAAATAAGACCTAGTAATAAGAAATGTTTTCAAAACTAAAAATGATCTGAAATGGTTACAAGATCAGCATACAAAAACGTAACTCATGAAAAAACATGTTTAATGTATATAGCCTATTTTTGGACAATGTTTAGATTACATTCAAAATACATTCAATAATGAAATTAATGTACACCTGAACTATACAGAAATTAAACTTTACTTAAAAAAAAAAAAGCCAAAAAGTGGCCTCGAACATTGTACAAACACCAGTTTTTAAATATTTGGGATGGTGACTTTGTAATCTTCATCTGTCTCCACACCAACTTCCTCCTGTAAAATCAAAACAGGTTTAACATGGGTAAACAATAACAAAAAATAGCAGTACATCATTTACTTTACAAATAAAGAAAATATCCATACAATATGTTGCCTGTGCTACAAACGTGTGCGTAGTGTAGTGCCAAAGAGTGAAATTGTGTTTTCCACTGACCAGAAACTCTTTTTTGCTCTTTGGATACCCCTCCAAAATGGAATTCATCATATCAGATGCCTGAAAAAAACAGAAAAACATGCTATGTACAGCTTCAGCATCAGCCATTTAAAATCACTCTAAATACATTACCAGTCTCTTTCTCTTCTTCCACTCTTTGACATACAGATTTCGCTCTTTGTAAACCTGCAATTACAACAATTTATTTAACACACTAGAGGTGAATTTTGTAAGTTTTCTGGTGGAGTCTATTCCACTGACATTAAACAGCTCTATCTTACATTTATTAAATTACAGGTGCTTTTATAGATCACCCACAGTCAGAATGCCTGTTTTTCTAGGTGTTTTTGGAGTTGCCTCTCCACGAATGTGAAATGTAACTTGGTCTGGTTTGGTTTAATGCCATACTGTGATACATTCCAGACAAAGCAATACCATTTCCAAAGAGAAAAACATTTGACAGACCCTCCACCAGAAAACAGTTACACAGCGCACCTTTAATAGAAATATACTAGTAAAATAAATCACTATGTTTTAATACACTTCCTACCTTTTCCCTCTCTTCAGGTGTGACATGGTTTGTAGCTGATTTTATCTTCTCCAGTCTGGTTTTCAACGCCGAACAGTCTTCTTTCAGCTGTTTTATCTCTTGGGTAATTTCCTCAGTTGTCAAGGAGTTGTTCAGTTCCTTAAGCTCTGTAGTTGTAATGTTCATACCAACATGTGATTACAGTTCTTCAGTATTCAGTAGATATTGGGGAAACAGTGTAGCCCACCTGAATCTAGCTGTCTGCAGTTTTGTGTGAGTGTCTGTAGCTCTGCAGTGAGCTTTGAGATCTGAGCATCCATCTCCTTTAGGTCTTCGTCACTCACATCTTTGAATTGGCCCTTTCAAAAATAAAATGCATAAATATATTCACAAACTAATAATACAACAGACAGTTTTTTAGTTTTAAGCGACAAAGACTCACCTGATCTGCAAAATAGATCTTTTGTTTACCATAAGTTTTCTCTTTAATCTTCCCTTCAGAGGCAAGCAGCTCCATGGCTTTGACCACGGCCTAAAACATAATTTATATTTTGATACAGTGCAACCCAAGTATTAGCTAGCTAACATAACTCATGGTATTTACACTTACTGTTTTGCCCAATCCATGTTGTTTCTGTAGATTACAAAAGACATCCTGCACACTGTACGGCCTGTTCTTCTCATTCAGATAGGCAAGGATGACAGATGCACCTAAAATTATGAAAATATCACAGTAAATATGCCTCTATAACTTCTGTGTTATTGTTTATTATAATTATCTAAAACGAATTCCAATGGCAACGTAGTGGTTGGCTGCTTTCGTGGCTACCTGGCTGACACAGAGTTCAAAGTTTTTAAAACTTTTTTTTTGTATTATGAGCTCAGGTTTTAACATCATATAATGAGATTTTAACCAACTAAGAAGTGCAGCATATGCAGCTCAAAAGACACTGTTGGATTTTATGAAATAAAATGCTTGTTTTCCCATACCCATGGAGACTGTGCAAGAGCTAACTAAAATAATTTGAGATGCTACAGGCTTTTTACACGATATGTGAAAGCAAATGTGTCACTTTGAGGGACTGAATCATTACCAACCGAAACACCAGAGAGGAGTAAGAGTGAGGCATTTCCTGCTGTGTTCACCTGGTTCCCTCTGCACACTTTTGGTCCTTCCATAAGATCTGCTGACCCTCCCTGACCAGTCCTCCTGTTAAACTGCACTCAGACCTTTGACTGAGACACAAAGGCCACTGAGAAGTGCAGTGGAAATGTTGCTGCAGCAAAACTGAATTTCCCTGGGGATCAATAAAGTATGTCTCTCTCTCTCGACTTCACAAGTTGTATTCCAGGTAAATGATGAACGTTACATCCACGTTGTATCCACGCAGAAAACAGCGGCGCACACATATTGCAAATGATTACCATGCTAAGCCCCTTCAAAACAGTTCGCTTGTGAACTAAATTATTTAAAAAAATGTACCCTCCTATATAATGTTTGAGGTCGTTTCTTGTCATGGTTGTCAGCTTGTTTACTATGGGCTTAGCATCAGAAGCTAGCTCCGCAAACTTTCAATGATGGAAATATTGTGATCTATGATTAGAAGCGACCAAACACAGTCCCAACAATATTGTAAAAAATAAAGTTTAAACGTTGTTACCATTGTCTTTTTTACTCATCGCGGAGCCTCTTGGTGCAGTCTGTGTGCGCTCATGGATCTATTCCGCTCTTTCCGCAAACAAGTTTCGCGGGAGATGTGCGTCACAGCAGAGATCGTCTATGCAAACATATCACTCCATGCTCAAAACCGGACTTCTTATATTTAGAATGTTTAATAAAGTGTAAATTATAATGTAAATAAAAAAGACCAATTTGTATAATTTAAAATAGCAGTTTTTAGAGATCGTCTACTAAGATGTATCACTCTAGAGTATACCGTAGCAAATGCTCAAAGTGAGACTAATTATATTTAAAATGATGAATAAAATAAATTCTAAACAAAAAACTGCAGTTAAGATCATTTAATAGCAAAGTTTTTATTGAATATAATTTGCACATCAAACATATCAAAACCAAGTAGAAGAAAAACTACTATCACATTGTCAAACAGATCCCATAGAAGAGAAGTAGTCCTCGTCAAAATACAACAAACTCTTTGAATTTTAAATAATTGTCAAATGATTTTTGTGCTAAATTTTTCAAATAATTGATTTCAAATCAATATTTTATGAATAAAACTCCAGTGCTGTTTATTTAGATTACCAATTTCTTTTTCTTTTCAATCTCTCCTTTTGAGTTTAAAAGTGCTGTTGTTAAAATCTCACTGACACAACTTGTCCTTCAAAATAACTTAAAGATGTAAAAGTTTACCTAATTTAGATGTAAACAGATTTGCAAATAGACACCAGCAGTAGTAACAATAAAACTTCAAAATAATGTCAGCTACTGAGAAAAGTGGCAACACAATTTGCATAAAAGAGTAAAAATGCCTTAAAGGCTGGTATTAAAGGGAAAGTATACAGAAATACTAAAATCCTTACACACTCAAACAAAGCAAACCTCACCCTCGGGCACACGTCAATACAACATCCGGCAAAGTTTTCATCCGGGGTTTGGGTCAAAATATCTTGATAACATTTCTAACAATATAGATTTTCCTATGTAAGGGAACAAACAGAAACCACACTGAAAACAGTTACATATGTAACTACAGTTCTATGAATCCCGGATGGCCGCCAGACTACCTCCGGTGGTCAGGAGGCATGAAACAGAACAAAGTCTTTTAGAACAGGACAACTTTAGATAAGTGATCAATCATCTCTCTCTACTCCTGTCATAAAATTACTTATCACCAACACCCTATTGAAATAGCAATCTGGTTTCACAATCCAAACGCCTCTTTCACTTTTATCACCTTTAACCAGTAAGTCCAAGATTCTCAAATGAGCACAACACACGTAACAGCGCTGTGTTGAGCTCGGCCAAAGGAATGTCACATTTGGTCCCAGTGTAGCCCTGTCTTGATGGCAGAAAAGGTGGATTTGAGGGCACTGCTTTAGGAGCCCAAAACCATGTGACTCCTACAAGGCTCAGAGGTGCTGGTCTGCCATGGTCCTATTGCTCAGCCTACAAAGGAAATGATTTGGAGAAAGCAGAAATAAAACATACTTCACAGTGATAACTGACCAGACGCAGGGATCATAAAATCACATTCATAACTCATTCTTCACATACTCTCTCACTACACACACTACTGAGGTTTGCCAAGCAGACTGGACAAGAAAGTAGAGCCCTGGCCCTCTCCCCTTTTACTGCCCCCTCCCCCGAGAGGATCCATCTGGTTCAGTTCAGACTGATCCAGCATCTCAAAGTCCTCGGGGTCCCAGTCCGTGTCCAGTTCGGAGCTGGACTGTTTGCGGTAGCTCCGATGGGCCCCTGCTTTAGGAGGGCCCTCCCTGCGCTGCATAGGGGCCCGCGGCTGCATGGCCCCAGCCAGAGCTGCCTGGATCATGTTACTGGCGATGACTCCAGCCAGCTCTGCAGTGAGGTCAGAGGTCACAGGCAGAGAGTCCAACTCTTCCTCAGAGTCCAGCTGCTCCTCCACATCCAGCACAGAGGCGCGGTGACCGGCCAGACCAGAGGGGCCCAGGCTGGGCAACCCAATACTCGTATCGTCATCATCATCCATGAGGGTGGCATCAGGGTTTATGGACGGGAAGTCTGGCAGGTCCTGTGCAAAGGACTCCTCTGCGTCACTGTGGCGGTCCAGGTCTGGCCAAACACAACACAAAACAGTTAATTATGAGTCATTCAAAACCTCACGTCTCCAATCCCAGAGTTTTACCTTCAGAGCCCTCTGTGAGCGGGGTCTGCCCACGAGACAGGTTAAAAGTCCCGTTCTCTGTGTACGACACCTCAGCATCCGAGTGCTCAGAGTCTGTCATGGCAAGTTCCTTAGCAACAACCGCTTCATCAAACTATAAGAATATAGAATTGAATGCATTAACAAAATACAAACAGGCATGTGACAGTCCTATTGAGATTATATTTGTGTGAGACTTTTACTCTTAAAGCTTTGCACTGAGACTAAAAAAATGCAGCACATGACCGACAGTGCATCATGTGAACCATGGCAGACAACTATTCTTATAACAGAAATCACTAGAGCGTTACAGAACAATATGGGGATTTAGCTTGTGTTTAAAGATCAGTATTTTTGTGAAATATGTGTGTGTTTTTTTTTTTTTTTTTTACTTACAGTTGGACAAAATGCAGCCAGCTCCTCTTCACTGTCGCTGCCTTCACCTGAGGCTATTCCTCGGATGGGCTTTCGTAAAACTGAACAAAGGAGTTTGATTACATACTGAGCAAAAGAGAGCCATTGGCAATGGCACTATAAAGGGCCGTTCACACCAAGGCGTCAAAGCGTCCAGTTTCAATGTAAAGTCTATGTGGACGCGCGACTAGAGCATCCTGCGTTTTTGCGGCGCGTTTTCGGCGTCAGCGCGGCGCGAATCTGGCGTCGACACGGCGCGTCTTGAGCGTTTTGGCGTCAGCGGCCAAGACGCGCGTCCAAAGCGTCAGCGTCAAGAAGTTGAAAATGCTGAACTTTTCGCGTCAACCAATCAGGGACGAGTATCCAGAGACGCAGCGACGTTATTTTCAGGAAGCAAGACCCGAGAACCAGAACGAGAACCACGAACATGAGCGGAGCATAAATATATACGCCACAATCACCGAGCTGATCGCGAGGACTACACCAGGACCGGACCAGGACTAAACCAGGACTCGACCGGGACTAAACAAGGACTAGACCGGGAGTAGACCGAGACTAGACCGGGACTAGACCGTGATTAGACCAGGACTAGACCGTGATTAGACCAGGACCAGACCAGTATTAGACCAGGACTAGACCGGGACTGATCCAGTGTCATTAGCGGAGTATAAATATATATACGCCCCGGTCGTCGACCCGATCTCCTCCGCTGATGTTTTATGTCATAAAAACACTCTATCAGTCTGGTCTGATATTGTTTCGGGAAAAGACCGGGACCGGGCTCTTGTTTCCAGGGCAACGGACGCGCGTCAAGTATTTTTGTCCCGTTTGTCCACGGCGTCAAAGACGCGCGTCGGGGGCGTCTAAACTCAAATGCAAACACGTCCAAATAGAGGCGTCAAAGGCGGTTTTTGACGCTTTGGTGTGAACGGCCCTTAAGAGTTTATAAACTTACACTGGTTATCGATTGGCTTTGACATCATGTATCCCTTCACACTGAAGTCCAGCCGCTGCAGGACTGGCTCCAGCTTCACGCACACATGCTGAAAGAGCTGGTGATACGCTGCCAAAGGAGCCAGCAGAGTCGCCCACACTACAGAGGAAAATACAGATATTTACTCAACAACATCTACAATTTATAAAACATTAGCCTCATTGTGAATGTATATCACTAAAATATCTGTTGTCAAACTGCAACAAATTGCAACATTAATATATGATGATTTTAGCAAATTTGCCAAAAACACATTCATTTCACGGTCCATGTTTGCAAGTCCTAGGCTCATCATTTCTAGAAACTTTTTGGTGCCTGTTGCATTATATATATGTATATATATATATATATATATATATATATATATATATATATATATATATATATATATATATATATATATATATATATATATATATAATATGTATATGTATGTGTATTATTAATTTATGGAGACAATGGAACTTTTTACAGTGTACACTTAGCATCAAAACAACAAATTTATTTTTTTTCAGTACCACTAGCACCCAAACCTTTTTATTCAGTACCTGTACTGGTACATTTAAATGGTACCAAGCCCTAGCAAGCTCAATTACAGATTCCAGGCAGATATTTATATGCAAAAATATTGAAAAAGGATTTATTGTAGCAACCTTGAAAACCCAAGTTTTCCCTGAGTAGACATAGAGAGTTAAAAGGCTGAGTCTAAGCAGCTGGCAGCTTTAGGGGTCAGGGTGGAGAGCTTTGGCTGGGCTCCTGCCTGTACTGCTGCTAGTAGGTTAAGAGCTTAGCTCCATGTCTGCTTGACCTGCTAAGATCTGAGCCAGCTTCTCTTTTCCCTGGCTATAGTAACGTCCCTGCTTTAATCACCTCTGCCTCTCTCCCTCTCTCCCTGTATTAGGGCCGTGTCGCTCCAGTTTCAGTTCTCATGCAAATTTAAACAGGACTAGACAGGTAGGATTTCCAGCCAATATTTACTTTATAAAGGACTGGGGACAGTTTAAACCATAGGGACTGACCGGCAGAGTAGGACAGCACCACTCCAGGGATGTAACGTCCAATCACAGCCAGACACGAGAAGATACTGCAGGTGAGGAGGCAGAACTGAACAATGGGAAATACAATACAGTCAGATAAACACAGACATTTGAGTCCAACCATAACTATTGACAGTCTAATACTTTGTTGTACATTGTACTTCTATCAGGTATCCATGGGTTTCAGAGTGATGGAAAATTGCGACAGTGGGCATAGCATAAACAATTTAAAAACAAATATTATGTCTTTTGAGGGGGAAGTCCTCAAAATGTTCCATATAACAGGAACCTGAAAGCCATGAATAATAAACATGCTTTCTATTAGTAAACCAGTTGCACCCAATTGAAAATAAATAGCAGACATTTCTGGGTCAGACTGTGCATTCAATGATAAAAGGTATTATTATTTTTAAATTATTCAAGCTGTGGCATCAATAGAATTAGGTTTGTTGTGGAAAAATACACATTATTATGACTGTTTTGAAGGGTCCTTACTTTTCCAGGGTTGAGGCGTTTGTATTGAAGCATGCTGGATGTGAGCACTGCTCCACTGACCCAGGCCTCAGAGACGTGGTGACACAGCTCTGGGACGCTTAGGATGCCGGGCTGCACCAGACCCCAGCTGCAAGTACAAAAAAAACAAAAAACAAACACACAATCAAATGGGGCACATACACTATATCGCAAAAATATAAATGTGTCAGTACTGGCCAACACAATAATCAATACTGCAAGAAAATGAAATTGCAATATGAATTTACATTTTTTTTTTTTTTTTTTTAAGTTTCCAAATGTATTTCTTTTCTTTATTAAAGCTCCCATGCTATTGCCTGATCTATGTTAAAGTTTTTTTCCTCATCACAAACATTCACTAGAATCATTTGGATGATTTCAGCACTGGAATTCCCAATCTCTAATGAACTACAGGTAAACACGTTAACTTGAAAACTACCACTACATGACATCACAAGAGAGAACAGAGCATTTTGAGCTTTGCAGATGTAGACATGTAGCCTAATAATAAAGGGTTACAAAAATGTGGGCATGAAACAAAACACAACTCCAGGTATGTTTTGAGGAGGTAACAGCATTATAACATGGCTTAAAGTTCACAAGAGTCCATTTTTGAGTAATAGAGGACCTTTAAGTCCTACTTAGCCCTGTTTGGACTTGGTATGACTGTTTTGATGAGTAAATTATGGCATAAATGTTGATAAAATTTAGCTAAACTGAGTGTGAAGAGGTAATAAAGCCACAACAGAAGGTCTATGTAGAAGAGTAGATTAAGAAATATGTTTGCTACGTACCATTCTGATTCCTCCATCTTTTTTACTGTAACAAACAGAGCAATGCATTAAAAATCAAATAATACTTTCCCCCCCCCCTTTTGTTTAGCATCCCTGTGACAAACCAAACTACAGACAGAAAGATCTCATATAATGCTGGAATTTGGATAGAAAATGTAAACAACCAAACAACTTTAGTAAAATTCCACAATATTAGGAAGACATTACATTTAAATCTAAAATTAGCTCATTAAGCAGCAAAATGGCTACTATTTATGTTCTGTCAAGTAATAATAATAATCACTTTTTATAGGTACAAATTGGCTCAAAGTATAACTCTAAAGTGACTGTGTTGCTGAAAGTGCCCTACCTCTGATCTCCGGCCAAATCTTATTCCTCCAGGTGTCAACGAAAACAGCCAGAGCCAAACCAGATGCCACGAGGAACAGCAGGCGCAGTGAGGTCAGGGCGAAAAACCTGCACACGTGGAAATATATAAAATACACATTTGTCCACTGAGACACATGCAAATCATATGTATAAGAAGATAATACATTAATAATAACTTTATAATCTCACAATGACAAGATTAGAAAGACTTGTTACAAGATGAAAGCATGCATTAAATAAAAAAATGTATATTTTCATAAGAGAGAAAGAAATCACTTTTAAATTTGACATCAGTATGAGTGGGAAAACTAATATACAGCAGTGATGCACAGAAAGGCATGATAAAAAACTGCTTTGTATAGGGTAGGGTACACATTGTCAATCACTGGATTACATTCTTCAAATTACTCAGTATCAACATCTCCCAGACTAAACAAAATTATAGGATTGATTCACTCAGATGAGATTATCCTGACAAAATATGTGTTGGCAAAACAGAGCAGTTTGGTATCAAGGGTGATACTGTGATTGTGTTTGGTTAGCTGAAGGATTACTGTACTTAAGCATAGACTGGAAACAACACATTTTATGCCACTTTCAATTTATTTTAAATAGTTTATTCCACAATTATTCCATTTTAACAATACTATTCTGTTTGCTCTTAATCATTTGAAATTGTCTTTTTTTAAAAACTACTTTAAAATACTTTTTGCTTGTTTGTTTTGCGTCTAAGCCATTACACTCAATAATCAGTTTAGTTAAAGTGCAAAAAGTTCAAGAATAAAACCTGTTGTATTGATTCTTTGCAGTGACATCAAGAAAAAATACAAATTGGATTTAAAGAACACGTTTTCAGGAGCCTGTGATTAATACCAGCGTTCATGGTCCTGTTTAGGTGGGAGTGACTAACTGAAAGCCGTTGGCTAATGCTAGCTATCTTGTGACTGTAATTTTATGCGTGAGAGACTTGTTTAACAGGAAAATATAAGATCACCTGTTATACTTCCAAATAAGTCAGTTCTTTCTGGTCAGATTGTATTAAAATAAAGCTCAGCATAAAGTCTGAGAAAGCCTCAGACAGAGCAGTGCCTAGTCTACAGTTATCATCGCATCACTTTAGATGCAAAATATCAATATTGAAAAGGTTTAATAATATGCAAGTTTAATTTCTTTCTTCTTGTTAAGAGAACCGTGTTAGAGCGAGAGACACTCTACCACATAACCAAGAGGAGAATGGACAGGATCTGACCATTTCAACTGATTAAATGGCATGAAGTCTGAGGAGCCTGGCTGTGAGTAGACGCTCAGCACTCTGTGGTTCACTGTCCCAGGTCAGTGACTTTTAAAATGTCAGAAAATCACATTGACCTAATTAAGCCACAGTAAGCCACAGTCTGAAGCTCTACTGCTGCATACCTCCTCATGTTTAAATGTAATGTGGTGGATTAGGGTCATTCAAATTCATATCACACACTTGCATACCTAGTGTTGTATAAAAACTTTTACAAGTTTAGTAGAGAGAATGATCTGGGAATAAATACCTAATTCCATTATTATTAAAGCAACTGCGATTTTGAATCCATTTTAAAAAAAGATTCTGTTCAGAGGGCAAATTATCAACAAGTCCATCTTTTGACAGAAAATGCTTGTTTGTAGAGGTCTAATCTACAGGGTTACCAATTTGTTACATAATAAGACCTTTGATATCTTTGTTGTTTGCAGAATATTTACAGAAAGCCATTGAGAATAGCTCATTTGACCCTTAAAATTGCCATCATTTGACTGTGATTAAATTTATAGTGAATATACACCCAACAAAACCGAAGCACAAATTAGTAATGCATTTACATTTTCTATGTATAACTCTATAGCAACAGTTTAACAACCTTTGGTCAATAAGACAAGGCCAATTCACCAGCTATCACCAATCATTGCCCCTAAACCTTGTAATCCACTGAACTGAACGTTGGGGATTACAAAAGCAGTTGGAAAGGCGAGATTTTAGGAGGCTGTGCCTATAAATAAGCACAGTAGCCATCTGTGTACTCTTGAATTGACAGGTGAAACATTGAATTGTGTAAAGCACCAGCAGCTGCCTCAGTCACGTTGGACTGAGGCAACAACCAAAACAACAATGAACAAATAGTTATTGTTTTATCTGCGAGTTGTCTACAGTAACACAAACTCAAATATATAACACATAACATTATTTAGGGTTCATTAGCCTATTCAAGAAACTTACCAGAACACCAGGTTGACCAGGACGTAAAGCAGCACACATTGCACGGGTTTTTCCCACACTAGCACGGCCTGTAGGTATGTGAGCAGGGGCTCGTAGGGCCCTAACCGGGACTGGAGAGCGGCTTTGACAGCCCGCACCTGAGCGTCCCTCTCGTTGGAGCAGGGTCGGCTCCGCAGACACACCGTGGAAGATCCCTGCGGTACCGTACAACCTTGCTCCGTGGGTATGCCTTCTTCTTTTGCCCCGGTGTGCACCATCTTAGCGTCAAATGTCAGTCAGCAAAAGTCTGTAAAAGAATAAAACTTGCAGGTAAACAGCTTGATGAGTACCAGACCAAAGCGCGGAGCTCAACTCACAACACTGGCTAAAGATCTGTGCTAACTTTAAGCTAATGGTTAGCGACAACGGCTGATCAAGGCTCTACCCAAAAGATACAGCGTTAGCTGTGAAATTAAAAGTAATTGCAACATTAGCACAAACATGCAATTGCTTAGAAACGAGATGACACTTACTATTCTGTCATTTTTGCGCAAATGCAGCGCTCTTTTGATAAACTCACAATATGGCGTAACCTGTTTTTCTCGGAGCTCGCGGACCAATCAGTTTCCGCTCGAGGCCACCGTCATGCTGCGTTCAGGTGCCAATGGGAAATGAACGCTACTGTACTTTCTCAAGTCTTATCATACGGTCTTAACGTATAAATGCATGCTTAAAATGAAATGAACACAGAGTTTTACCATTTTACTATCTCATCAAATACCTTGACTATACTGAAATATAAATTAATAAGCAAAATATATAAGTAAAATATAATGTTGAATGGATTTTAATATTTTTATAGTAGCCATGTTTGTTATCAATTGTATTACTTTATTTATATTTATTGAATTTAAATTGTATTACTCCTAGTATTTCACGATACTGGTTGGTCCTGTACCCTAAAATAAAATATTTTTTTTACGAAATAAACGACAAAAAGCTCCACATCAGTAGATGGCGTTGCTTGCAGTCTTTTCTCTAGTCTGAGCGTGTGTATCCGCTGTACAAGTCCCATCAGCACCAAGCGGGAAGAAGCAGCGGGCTGGTGCAGGACTGGAGCCGTGAGCAGCGCACTGTTCTCCGGGCACAAATAACCTGCAAGCCGCCGAAGCTTGTGGAATAAACAGGCACTGGAAACGGAAGATGCCACGGGAGATCATAACCCTCCAGCTTGGGCAATGTGGGAATCAAAGTACGTGAAAACTATTGAACAGGCGATGCAACGCTTCTGTTGTTGTCCTCTCCGACGATGGAGCATAGCAAGTTGTCTACTAGCTAGCTCTAGGAAAATGCGACCCATACAACTACTATCATAGATTTTATTATACGCTTTTAATAATACTATACATATATGGTAATACAATATTTGCAATCCATATTTAGGACTACTTCTTCCTGACGCTAGCTTAGCCTGTATGTATTGTCTTGTCATCATGCATTATTGTTATGCTATCATTATATCACGTGGAGTTGACAAAAAACTTATATTACTGTGTGTTGCAGTTGGCTTTGAGTTTTGGAAGCAGCTGTGCGCGGAGCATGGCATCAGTCCAGAGGGCATCGTGGAGGAGTTTGCCACAGAGGGCACTGACCGAAAAGACGTGTTCTTCTATCAGGTAATTGATTTCATTGTTTTGAACAGGACGTCTCTTTCTATCCTCTGAATTATTGTGCTTGTACTTTATAGTAATTGTGACAACAGCTACTGGGTAATTCATGCTATTTGTCCCCTGTCTGTATAAATTGGCAAATCAACCTTCAGGCATCTCAAAGTCTTATTTCACTGGAAAACCACTTAGCAGGTTGTGTGTGTGTACTCATAAAAAAGGGCATCTTGTGAATGAGTACTCTGCACATTTCTCTGGTAATTCATAATATTGTATTAACTGAATTAACTGAATGTACAGTGAATGACAGTAAAGGTCTGAATATAGATTCTTATTCTATTCGCTAATGACAGATACATGTTGGATTTTATTTTTGATTGATTTTGGTTGGGATTGACAAATGTTTTTTTAAGCTGTGCCGAAGACATAAAGTGAGTGTGTTAACAATTTAAAGATTATTTGTATTACTGCATCTTGCCACCAGATGGAGCAGCTGCATAAGAATCTCCAAGCACTCGGCAGCACATGTCAAATTCATAGATCTCACCTTTCTTGTTTCTGTGACGTTTAGGCTGATGATGAACATTACATCCCACGAGCAGTTCTCCTGGACTTGGAGCCCAGAGTGATCCACTCCATCCTCAACTCTCCTTATGCCAACCTGTACAATCCAGAGAACATCTATCTCTCTGAGCATGGAGGAGGGGCGGGCAACAACTGGGCCAGCGGGTATTCACAGGTATATGGTTATTAGAAAGTAACCACAACTACAGTGGTCTAAATAGAAGTGGGACATATATTGAAAACAAATGATAATACTGCTGTTGTTTTGGAGCAAAAATTGTAACAAGTTTATTGTGTAAAATTAATTTAAAATAACCTAAAAGAGATAGAAAGGTCTGGTGTAGTCTCCCAAACAAGGATATTGTGAGATTTCAGTTTTTTTCTGGTAAATTTTCTGGTCTAGTCTTGCCTTTTATGATACCTGCACATAAACTAAGAGATTAATAGACTAATTTTTGCAGATCTCTGATGAATTGTTAAAATAAATATTGTGGGAAAAAAATGCAAAAATATGTTGGGATATTCATTTTTGTCGCCCACCCTTACTGCCAAATATAAAATTTCACTTTCATAACAACTGTTCTTCTTTCTGTCTCAGGGAAAGAAGATCCAAGAAGACATTTTTGACATCATTGATCGTGAAGCAGATGGCAGTGACAGCTTGGAGGCAAGTCTTATCAAAGAATTTTTCACTCTAGTCGTGAGGAATTTTAATAGAAATCTAATGCACCCCCAAGACCCAAGGCCATAGCACCACGATGAAGAAAGAGATAGTTGCAATTTAGGCTTGAATAGGTTGAGTTAACAATTCAAACCACAGTATTCTATCATTTTATATGATGAAAATGTCATCCGTGTATGGATTTCAGCTTCCGGTAATATGCGAGATTTTGAGGACCATTCAAAAGATATAATATTTTGTTTCATTTTAAGTAACCTATTGATAACAAGCAAGCTGAAACACATGACTAGGCTGAAATCGCGGTAGAGAGGAAGTCACCATTAGAAATATATATAGTATTTGATTTGCCTTTAAATTGTCAAATTGAAGATTTTTAAAAATGTGTCCGGGTTTATGGATTATATCTCTGTAATTACTTCAAATCAGATATTTCTTTCAAACACCCTTTTGCCCCATTGAGTTATACTGAGCCCCTGCCTTCCATCTGTAATTCTAAGATCAAATTTGAGATGACATACACATTTTTTTCTATTTGTGGTTTTCAGCTTCTCATAATAGACAACAACGAGACTGGATATTTTTATTTTAAATTGTTACTTACTATGGCATCTGTCCTAATGTTATCAGCTTTGTTTTTACATCTCTTCTAGAATCAGAAAAGCTTTAATTCTCTATGAACTTTCTTCTGCTGCCAACCAAGCCTTCATGAAACAGCTCCCCATTCTCCGTCAAAGGTCTACCACTTCTGACCTTACATTAGCATTTAGTGAGTGCGTTTGTGTGTGCTTTGGAGAGGAAGGTGGGTAGGCAGCTCTGTGTATGTTGGCAGGGTGTGGCGTCTGGTGATAATAGCTGTGCCCGTGTAGAAGGCAGGTATTACATGGTTGTCTTTAGGGGGCGGAGGTGGGGGGGTACGATTGAGGTGGGGCTGCATTCCCATTTATATAACAGCTCAGGAAGGGAGGAATTCACTCAGCCCACATGTGCACAGTGTAGCGTTTACAGGAAGCCCAACACATGGTCGTACTATATTGCTGTAAATGAGTAGTGTAAGTAATGAGTAACCCTTGTGTTTGTAGGGATTTGTCCTGTGCCATTCCATTGCAGGAGGGACCGGTTCTGGTCTGGGATCCTACCTACTGGAAAAACTCAATGACAGGTTGGAACACTTGTGTAACGTACATGCATATTTTTGTACTAAAGTCATGAATGGACAAAATCACAATAATAGTGAACAAAGTCTCACTCTGTTTGGTTATCACTTGAGTAGCCACATCTGCCCTGGGTCAGACTGATAGGAGTGTGGCAGCTACACAATTGCCAGTAGCGACAGTCTTTAATATCTCTGTTCATCATAAATCAGAACCATAGACCAGTGGTTCTCAAAGTAGAGATTGCAAGATCATTTACTGATTTCATACAGTCTATTTTAGTGAATTTAAATAAAATATCTCAATCATTTTTTCAGATAAGCCACATCAAACCTGATTCACAACTTTAAATCATTGCCATTGTCAGTTTCATTCTGCAATGCTGGTTGTGACTCAGTTGCATGGCCATTTTGGGAGTCACAGATATCAAGCCACTACACCTTCCATTTATATCCTGCTACTTTTTTTTTTTTGTATTTTTATACTTTTCTCTCCCATTAATTTATCCTCTCCATTTGACCCTTCTCCCTACCTGTGCCTCTTGGCAGTCTGTCAGGAGCAGTAATGCAACAACAGAGTATGGACCTATATCCAGATCTTGCGCTTGGATCTTTGGTCATGAGTACCTAGTTATGATTAGCTTGCGGAGCATGTTTTAGAATTTAGACTACTGCCTTCTCACATGTTTGTATATTGACGGTGTATGTAATGCATTTTATCCTCAGATACCCAAAGAAGCTGGTGCAGACATATTCTGTTTTCCCAAACCAGGATGAGATGAGCGATGTGGTGGTTCAGCCGTACAACTCTCTACTAACACTGAAGAGGCTGACACAAAACGCAGACTGTGTGGTGAGGAGCACTCTCGACAAATCATGATTAATCCAGACTTGACTTGAAAACTTTTTAACCAGCCCAGGTTAACTTGTAACTCAATCGTCTGAGCCAGCTAACACAGATGCTGCACTCTTGACATTATGTTTCAGTGTTCGTGAGCAGGAAAAAGGCAACAGAAATACTTTGAAAGAGGCAAGCGATTGTTTGCTAAAACTAGGTCAGCCTTGGACAAGAATTGAGCTTTATGTGTTTAATACAAAAGGTCCAGGCCAAAGGGCAGGAAATGCTGAAAGCTTAAAACGCCTAGTTGATTTTACACATCAGAATGAGCACATTTGGTTATTTATGTAGTGATTATGAAAAAGTTACTATTTAAAAATATACATGTACAAAGATGTTATGAAGACATGAAAAGAAGTTATTCATTTATGTTTATTGTACATGACAAATTGATCTTTTGGTGTCTGATAATAATGATGGGGGCCCAATGGCATAAAGGGCCCATATTCCACTGTTGTCTCACCAAAACATACCTGGAGTTTTGTTTCATTCACACATGTTTAACACACTGCATATTTAGGTTATGGTCTTCTCTAACAGAAAACACTTGGATTCCATGGAACCATGGATTTGTCAATCTACTGAACAAAAGGTAAAAGGTAGCTGTTGACATGAAAACTACTGCTTCATGACATCAAAAAGTGGAACAGAGCATTTTGCGCTTTAGGGATGTAAACAGACTAAAAGTAAAGGATTACTTGAGCATGTGTGAATGA